GTCGTTTTTTCACGTTTTTTGCTATACTATACTATGTTGTTTTTTTCACTTTTAGGGCCTTAATATACCATGACGTCTTCGTACTTTGCCATACTATGATGTTTTCTGATGGTTTTATGCTTTATTACACATTGTCATTTTTTCAATTTTTTTGCCATAGTATACTATGTCGTTTTTTCACGTTTTTTGCTATACTATACTATGTTGTTTTTTTCACTTTTAGGGCCTTAATATACCATGACGTCTTCGTACTTTGCCATACTATGATGTTTTCTGATGGTTTTATGCTTTATTACACATTGTCATTTTTTCAATTTTTTTGCCATAGTATACTATGTCGTTTTTTCACGTTTTTTGCTATACTATACTATGTTGTTTTTTTCACTTTTAGGGCCTTAATATACCATGACGTCTTCGTACTTTGCCATACTATGATGTTTTCTGATGGTTTTATGCTTTATTACACATTGTCATTTTTTCAATTTTTTTGCCATAGTATACTATGTCGTTTTTTCACGTTTTTTGCTATACTATACTATGTTGTTTTTTTCACTTTTAGGGCCTTAATATACCATGACGTCTTCGTACTTTGCCATACTATGATGTTTTCTGATGGTTTTATGCTTTATTACACATTGTCATTTTTTCAATTTTTTTGCCATAGTATACTATGTCGTTTTTTCACGTTTTTTGCTATACTATACTATGTTGTTTTTTTCACTTTTGAGGCCTTAATGTACTATGATGTCTTCGTACTTTGCCATACTATGACGTTTTCTGATGGTTTTATGCTTTATTACACATTGTCATTTTTTCAATTTTTTTGCCATAGTATACTATGTCGTTTTTTCACGTTTTTTGCTATACTATACTATGTTGTTTTTTTCACTTTTGAGGCCTTAATGTACTATGATGTCTTCGTACTTTGCCATACTATGACGTTTTCTGATGGTTTTATGCTTTATTACACATTGTCATTTTTTCAATTTTTTTGCCATAGTATACTATGTCGTTTTTTCACGTTTTTTGCTATACTATACTATGTTGTTTTTTTCACTTTTAGGGCCTTAATATACCATGACGCCTTCGTACTTTGCCATACTATGATGTTTTCTGATGGTTTTATGCTTTATTACACATTGTCATTTTTTCAATTTTTTTGCCATAGTATACTATGTCGTTTTTTCACGTTTTTTGCTATACTATACTATGTTGTTTTTTTCACTTTTAGGGCCTTAATATACCATGACGTCTTCGTACTTTGCCATACTATGATGTTTTCTGATGGTTTTATGCTTTATTACACATTGTCATTTTTTCAATTTTTTTGCCATAGTATACTATGTCGTTTTTTCACGTTTTTTGCTATACTATACTATGTTGTTTTTTTCACTTTTAGGGCCTTAATATACCATGACGTCTTCGTACTTTGCCATACTATGATGTTTTCTGATGGTTTTATGCTTTATTACACATTGTCATTTTTTCAATTTTTTTGCCATAGTATACTATGTCGTTTTTTCACGTTTTTTGCTATACTATACTATGTTGTTTTTTTCACTTTTGGGGCCTTAATGTATTATGATGTCTTCGTACTTTGCCATACTATGACGTTTTCTGATGGTTTTATGCTTTATTACACATTGTCATTTTTTCAATTTTTTTGCCATAGTATACTATGTCGTTTTTTCACGTTTTTTGCTATACTATACTATGTTGTTTTTTTCACTTTTAGGGCCTTAATATACCATGACGTCTTCGTACTTTGCCATACTATGATGTTTTCTGATGGTTTTATGCTTTATTACACATTGTCATTTTTTCAATTTTTTTGCCATAGTATACTATGTCGTTTTTTCACGTTTTTTGCTATACTATACTATGTTGTTTTTTTCACTTTTAGGGCCTTAATATACCATGACGTCTTCGTACTTTGCCATACTATGATGTTTTCTGATGGTTTTATGCTTTATTACACATTGTCATTTTTTCAATTTTTTTGCCATAGTATACTATGTCGTTTTTTCACGTTTTTTGCTATACTATACTATGTTGTTTTTTTCACTTTTAGGGCCTTAATATACCATGACGTCTTCGTACTTTGCCATACTATGATGTTTTCTGATGGTTTTATGCTTTATTACACATTGTCATTTTTTCAATTTTTTTGCCATAGTATACTATGTCGTTTTTTCACGTTTTTTGCTATACTATACTATGTTGTTTTTTTCACTTTTAGGGCCTTAATATACCATGACGTCTTCGTACTTTGCCATACTATGATGTTTTCTGATGGTTTTATGCTTTATTACACATTGTCATTTTTTCAATTTTTTTGCCATAGTATACTATGTCGTTTTTTCACGTTTTTTGCTATACTATACTATGTTGTTTTTTTCACTTTTAGGGCCTTAATATACCATGACGTCTTCGTACTTTGCCATACTATGATGTTTTCTGATGGTTTTATGCTTTATTACACATTGTCATTTTTTCAATTTTTTTGCCATAGTATACTATGTCGTTTTTTCACGTTTTTTGCTATACTATACTATGTTGTTTTTTTCACTTTTAGGGCCTTAATATACCATGACGTCTTCGTACTTTGCCATACTATGATGTTTTCTGATGGTTTTATGCTTTATTACACATTGTCATTTTTTCAATTTTTTTGCCATAGTATACTATGTCGTTTTTTCACGTTTTTTGCTATACTATACTATGTTGTTTTTTTCACTTTTAGGGCCTTAATATACCATGACGTCTTCGTACTTTGCCATACTATGATGTTTTCTGATGGTTTTATGCTTTATTACACATTGTCATTTTTTCAATTTTTTTGCCATAGTATACTATGTCGTTTTTTCACGTTTTTTGCTATACTATACTATGTTGTTTTTTTCACTTTTAGGGCCTTAATATACCATGACGTCTTCGTACTTTGCCATACTATGATGTTTTCTGATGGTTTTATGCTTTATTACACATTGTCATTTTTTCAATTTTTTTGCCATAGTATACTATGTCGTTTTTTCACGTTTTTTGCTATACTATACTATGTTGTTTTTTTCACTTTTGGGGCCTTATTATACCATGACGTCTTCGTACTTTGCCACAATTTTATGCCTTACTATACTGTTATTTTTTATGCCTTACTAGACTTTGATGTTTTTTCACATTTTTATGCCTTACAATGCTATGTAGTTTTATGCCTCACTATACTAAGACGTTTTATGCCTTATTATATACTATGACTTTTTTTCAAATTTTTATTCCTTACTATCTTATGATGTTTTTTATATTTTTGTATGCCTTACAATAGTTCAATCAGGAGAGACTCAGATATTAAAGAAGCCAAAACACTTTATTGCCATGTGTAAACAGCGAGAATGAGAAGCGAGTCTTTGGTGGTTAGACCCTGTCGTGATGTCATCATATTGGAATGAGGGGAAAGATCCTGTGCGTCATGTAGGAAATCCACCTAAAAACCAAAACAGTCACAGTCTTCACAAAGACAGCAAGCAAAAGGTGGTAAGGATCACAGTGATAACAATTATGAACTGTTTTGGAACAGTTCAGCTATGCAAGGTTGTCTCTGCACAGCATCTTCTTTTATCACCCTCTGTTCTCATGGCCTGGTACAAGGCAGACACTAACAACCCAAAGGATGTGCCACAGAGTAAATCACAAAATCAAGAGTTCACATCACAGTGGTTTTCATTCAAGTGAACACATTATAGCGCAAGCATATGTAAGAAGGTATATGGTATAAACATACGTTACAAGATATAATAGCACCGGCATACATAACAAGATATACATTTTCAACTACAGTCCTAGTGATAAAGTGAGGATCTGGATGAAGCGGAATGGCTTCTAATGAGCTTCACCTAGGTGCTGGACATGAGGCCAGGAGTTCAAAGGGGAGGAGGAGGGTCGCAGCAATCTGCCTGAAATGACAGCTGAAAGCAGTAGAGAGAATGGATTTAAAGTTTGACAGCAACGACATGATTGGCTGACTTAGGATGTGGTGAAACATGATAGGTAGAACAATTACACCAACATCAGCTGACGCAAGCAACATTTTTTGACATTTTTATGCCCTTCAATAGTATGACTTTTTTTTTCCTTTTTATGCCTCTCTATATATGAAGTTTTATGCCTTTTTATACTATGATGTTTTTATGCCTTACTATACACATGCACATATATCACATTTCCGTATGGGCATTCCTGAATGTAAATTCAGATCTTTTATGTCAATAAACCGTTTGGTTGATGGCATTAAACAGCCAATCTCTGTTTTGGAGGGGTGGTGTGGTTGTTGCGTCCCTACCAATGTTGTGACCAACCCTATGCTCTTCAAACTGCTGTAGTTTTCACAAAGAAAACACAAATGTGTTTTTAAAAAGCCTCATTTGTCATTCAACATTTATTAGAGCTTCAAACTATAAGTAAAACTAATGGGCCAGTTATGTATTTTGATAATTGATTAATTGTCATTAGAGCCATTTTTTCAATATTCTTAAATGTGAGGATTTACTCTCAATTTACTTGATTAGTCAGGAAAATAAATGTTAGATTAATCAATAATGAAAATAATTGTTTCAGCCCTATTGGTTATTATATTCGCTGGATAATGTGTTTGGCCCAGCAGCCTCCTCACTTCTTCCTCTATCCTTGTAACATCACTAATCCTGCGTAATGCTGCCAATTTACATTCAGTGTCTTTCCTCCAGAAATAAAGGTGCTTTGCCACATGATATAAACTCTGTGTACAACACTAAAAAATATGGACCTCTATAACAGAAGTGCTGCCGCAGGTTCTGGCCAGATGGATGTATCACAGAGGAGGATTTCGGGACCGCTCCAGATGAGCTGACAGAGCAGCCAAGAAGACAAACATTTAAATTGCAAAGCAAAGAGTGTGCTGGAGCTGATTTGTAAATAAACACTAACAAAAAAAAAAAAAGAAAAAGAAAGAAAACCTCAGCAACAAATGAGCAGCAAACTGTTTATTTATACAATCAGATTAAAAAAACACTATGACTGCTTTAAGATATCGCAGTGACAGAGAAACAAAACCATAAATTAAACAGTACAAATTAGACTGTAATTATTTTTAACATGAAGGAAAGGGTCGTGTAAACATTAGTGCTGTGGATATGCTCTCATAAGCTTTTTATTCATGCATTTGATACCTTGAACAGCATATGAATTAATATCAAGAATGCTGTAGTTTAATGCCTCAGAGGTTATTTAACATAACAGTTATCTCCTCAGCAGTTAGCATTTCAACACTGACCTTGAAGCAAACAAAGGTGAAAAAAAAACTAGGAAAATACTGTACCATACGATATTTACACAACACATTGAGATAAACAACAGGGCAAGATCTAAAGGCATTTTAGCAAATTATTTTAAGGCAAGAAAACTACTTAAAACTCCAAATAGTCCCTGAACCAAGTGAACACTTTATTCTACAGTTTTGATATGAGACTTTAAAAAAACAGGAATGCGAATGTCTCTTTGAAATATGTTAAATTACAAGAAATTTTACTAATGCTGTGCTCACAAAGAAGTGGTTTAACACTGAACAATGCCCTCACAGACAAATGCAAAGTGTACAAAGTCAAGTGAAATTCGAAACAATGTGGGAATGATCATGCCCAACTAAGTGAGGTACACACATACAGACGATCGACACAACTAATGCTACAAAAAGGAAGTGTGCAAATCAATATCTGTAATAAAATAATTGTCATTAGTGTTAATTTTGACTCGTTTGCCATTAAGTCACCACACAAACTAAGCATTTAGAGTATTCCAAACAGTTCTTAACTTAGAAAAAAAAAAAAACTCTGACCAACTTGGGTTAGTGATGTGAGGTCCTGCATTGCAGTTAGTCTACATCCACTTCCACAGATTCCCTGAAGGACAGACCTAGTACATTACTAGTCCTCAAAGGCTTTTGAGGCCACTGAAATACTTTTTTCCCTCTCAATCCATCAATGTGCATTTATACTGTTTCTGCTCAACAACGTTCACAAAGAGCTCCATAAATTTCAGAGTGCATACTATAATAGACCCCTCACTAAAGAGGCACTTTAATTGTCGGGACACACTTCATTATAGCTGGAGACATCCATTTTCAAAGAGCCTAACAGGAAAATTTGAAATACATCAGTAGTACAGTCATTTGGCGACAAGCGCTATAGCTTCTCAATTTCCTGTTTTGGATTATAGTGTTCAGAAGCAGTGTGAGGCAAACCGAATCACTGCAGAGCTCTCCTGACTGCCAGCTGTACAAAGCTGATTGAATTATGACGCAGAGCCCACCATTTTAAACTAAGTTGTAGACTTCCAGGTTCTCATGCAAGATGTGGTCCTTCACCGCGCGGAAGACAAATCGAATGTTGTCTGTGTCTGTGGCACAGGTGAAGTGGGAGTAGATGATTTTTTTTTCGTTTGGATTGAGACTCACAAACATGTCTAAGATGAATTCTTTTCCTGCTTTGACATCCCGCTGGGGACCTGGTAGAAAGAGACAGAGGGCAAAAACAGCACATGAAAGTCACCAGAGCATTTCAGCAGTTACATAAAAGCTCAAGAATAAAATAACTGTAATATATAATGGTTGCAAAGCACTTAAGGGATACTATGTAACTCTTAAAAATAGACATAACATAATCTTCCTCTTATAAATGAAAAGTTGAATTCATAAGCAATAAAACTCACTCTTCATCAATTTAAGACATGCTGCTACAGTTTCAAAGCCAATTCATGGCTTTGGAATAAAAAAACAAACAAAAAAAACAGGACATTGTTTCATGTACTGTATGGATGTATGTACTGTGTTACTTGGTCCTGTTCTTGTTAAGCAGTCGCACACACAATTTTCTTTTTGTGATTCTTTGTTGTTGTGTAGCCAAATACATCAAATACACCCCTCTTCCTGCTGTCAGGAGTTTGGCATCTTGTTTTCTGGTGAATGATTCTCCATTCGCAGACCCTTGTTGATTCGAGTGTGCATGTAGTCGTGCCAACATGAGCCACTGTAAACTACTGGGCATACTAGATCAAGAGAGGCTGTAGCAGCAAAACCACGTGGTGTGTTGAATTAAGCAAACAACAGAAACATCATCATGCTCAGCTGCATTTTTTTTAATCATTTTTGCCCAGAATTAACTGGTTCCTCTTACCATCATATTCAGGGAAGTAGTCGACCAAATGTGAATACATGATTTTCTCCTCCAGTAAATCGATCTTGTTGAGGAACAAGATGACTGAGGAGTCTTTGAACCACTTGTAGGTGATGATCGTCCGGAATAAGGCCATGCTTTCCTCCATTCGATTCTATGGAAAAATCACAAGACACAGACATCTCAGCGGGAGCAGAAATATGAAATCAGACATAGTGTTTGAAAGCAGTACTTCAGCGGTGATTGCCTGTGTGAGCAAATTCAATTGGCTGTAATCTCATCAAGTGAACAAGCCTTGCTGAGAGCTGCACTTTTGCTGAACAGAGCGACTAAAGAGCTCCCCCTGCAGGTGAACTGCATGCACTGCCAGAAAACAGGGTTATGATGAGGTTTGTCATTGCTACCAGAAAGAGAGAGAGAGAGAGAGAGAGAGAGAGAGAGAGAGAGAGAGAGAGAGAGAGAGAGCGAGAGAGCGAGCGAGAAAGAAATAGAAACACAGACAGAGAGAGAGAGGGAGAAACTAGACTAGTGTTGGACTCTGTGGAGATCTGGGTCATCTCCACCTCAAAGGTTTGGCTTTAAACAAAAGAAACAATGTCCCTTTGTATTTCTCCCAGTGATTTATTTTTGCTTATCCCAAAGTGAGCCCATTTCTTTCCCATGTACAGACTAACGACACATATAGCAAGAGCTTATCTTGTACGTGTAGCAGATTATTTTGTAGGTAGCAGCCCTCATTTTACCTCATTGGCAGACTCAACAAGGACCTGATCATACTCGCTGAGCGCCACCAGGAACATGATGGAGGTTACGTTCTCAAAACAGTGAATCCACTTCCTCCTCTCTGATCGCTGGCCACCCACATCCACCATCCTACAGCCACAGGATTATGCCATCATTAAAAAGAAAAAATCATATTACCCACTCACAGACAGTTTTATTCTACAAATTGTGAGGCTGCGCTAATTTAATAATAAGGATAATATAACAGGAAATGTTTGAGAGTTGATTATAAGTAATTTAGACATGATGACTAAACAGGACAGTGTAATAAGTTCAAAAGGTTGTATCTGCTAAGTTAAGTGTACTGCAGCATTTGAAGAAAAAGTAAAGACAACATTTAGGCTCAATCTCAATATTACAGTAAAAATAAAATTTAAATGATATCTGTCTTAATATCACTATATCCCAACATTGCCCTAAAATTCATGTGTGCTAAGTGTTGAGGGGCTTTAATGCTTTTATTACATCCCCATGACAACCAGAACCGTCAGCATTTGTCTTTATGGCGTGAGGATTAAATTCAGGGAACAGAAACTTTCACTTCCCCAAAATATCTGCTGGTTTCAGATGGACACATTTCACTTCCAGAACCAGCCTAAATTGACGTCGCTGATGAGTGATATGAAACTACTTTATAAATGGGCAGAATAAGACCATGGATTTAATAGTTAAATGAGGTCCAGCTGTGCTCAAACAAGACTAAGACTAACAAGACATAATGGCTTCCAACTTGTGACTGGTTCCACAACAATGCAGTTTAGTCTTGTCAGAGGACACAGGAAGAAAGAAGAGAGTCTACAGCCAAGCTAGCTGCTCTGTGTTCCTGTACCTGGGCAGAGTGGTGCTTTAAGTGAAATGCTAACATCTACATGCTAACATGGTCACAATGACAATGCTAACATGCTGATGTAGGTATAATCTTTACAATGTGCACTTTCTTAGTTCAGTATGTTTTGTTTTTTTTTGCAGGTCATTAAACTGAAAGGAGCATGCATGACTGTTGGCTGTTGACATATTCCAGTCTGGACCAAAGTGGTAGACCGACGTTGCCATCCATAGAACCATACTACTATAAACACATGTGGGTGTTATTGTAAACTACGCTGTTAAAACTCTCATTTTAGGTTGGGCGATATGACAGTACATAGGGGAGAGATTTAACTATATTAGATATACCAACATATACAGCATATCCTCTTATTATCTCTGGGGGTATTAGGTAATTGTGGGCAATGTTGCTGAATCACTGAGAAGGACAGTTTGAGTTATTGTACTTATTTGTGTAGTTCACTGGATTGGCTAAGATCAGACACTCCCATCTGGTAATTTCATTTATAAACAATTAGTGCAGTGAACTTCCAGAAAATATATCATGAGAGAAACTAAACTGATCCAATTGTGATACTAAACTACACATAACAGTACCATTGTCAACTGTATATTTGCCTGTCCTACTCCCAAGTACTTTTTCACTCTTTATGCCTCGCCTGCAATAAAACCACTACAACATAAAATATAAGAAAATAAACAACAGCATGAACACTCACCTGAACACCACATTCTCCAGGTCAAAGGGGTATTCTATAATACCTGTTGTGGGCACCCTGACCCTCAAGACATCCTGCTGGGTTGGCAGATAAGCCGTATCTGCGATTCGATCCAAGTCATTCAGATAGCTGTAAACACAGGATGACAATGCACAGTGGAGTAAATGAAAACAAAACCAGACAGATAGATATGGAAGCAGCACAGGACACATTTATAGTAAAATATTGAAGTCATAGATGTTTCTGTTTCAGCCACTTCGCCACTATAATCAGTTATTTAGTCCTTTTAAGCCTTTTGTCAACAACCTTAAATGGAATAACCACTGAACTCAACCCTTCTGGAGTGTATTAAACAGACAATTGGCAGATGATACAGTGGAAACTATTTGGCAGAGGAGGAGTTATTCGTCTCTGTTTACACTCACTATTTGGTTGAGTCCGAGAGCTGGTATTCCCTCTTCCGATTGTAACATTCCTGAATCCCTGGATCACTCCACAGGCTCTTGATGGCATCCGCATATGGGTTTGTTAATGTTGTTACTTTCTCCACATCAACCCCACTTACAATACCGGCGCTGGCCTGAACAACAACAACCAAATGACACACTGAAATTAATAATTAAATAACTACAGAGTGCTTTACAGGAATATGATCTAATGTTTGTGGTCTTGTGCATTGTTTTTGTAGCATTATGAAACCTGTATGCTCACACATACGCTTACAGTGTGCAAAAATCACTTACATCCACAGCCACATCTTTTCAATTGGACGAGTCATAAGTGGTAAAGCTTAAAACAGAATAGAGAACCTGATTGGTACTACTAATCTTAGATTACATGATCAAGCGGAGTCCAATACCTGATTTAAATACTGTGTGATTAGAAAGTAGGAAAGTCTGCCTCCGTAAAAAGTAAGCTAATGTGGCAATTTGATATTTAGGAGACTGGCCAACAGCCTGAAGTTAGGTTGTCTACACGTGATCAGTAGAATTGTCCGGCTTGAGCCATTGTTGTGCCTATGATGAGAGATCATTTTTAGACTAAAGCTGCAATGATTAAATGATTAATCAATTAGTCCATCGACAGGTAATTATTGAAGTCCTTTTCTGTGGCTTTAGGACAGTTAGTCAGACAAACAAGTTATCACCTTGGGTTGTAGGAAATCATGATGGTTTTTGATTTTTGACTTTTATTGACCAAATGATAAATCGAGAGATCCATCAATTATGACAATAATCAGTTGCAGCCCTAATGAAAACTCTTGCTGGCTTACTCAACGTAAAATAATTACACCACGAAATGATGTTGGACCCCTCACTCTGTTACAAAAACCATGGTCAGAGTATCTCAAACCAAGAGATTTTACTCAAGCTGCCTTTGTGTCCTGCAGTAATTACCGACTGTAACCTCCACAGTAAGCTGATAGCGGATGTAGCAACGAGAGCACTGCTGTTCACCCTCAGTGTAGATAGTCGTTTTCCCTTTCATATGCATTCACTGACACAAAGACTTAAAGCACAAAGGCTTCTATGTGTCCCGGGTCATCCTGGATTTTGGTTTGTGGATTGATGTCCTCTGTCTTCTCAGAACTCTTAATCTCTATCACACCCTTACTGCCCTAATTTGTGTCTGATTAATAATAAATATTTCCCTGACTGCATATCCCTTGGGGTCCCACAGTGCAGCAGTTCATCCAGAAAACACTCAAGTCTGTTTGCTCTCATCTGCTGCTGCTTGGGACTCTGGGATAATCACATGGGAGGAGTATCATTGCCTCCAATAAACAGCCTTATTGTACACAGAGCTATTGCAGACATACTGAAACTGTAATTTTGTTGATGGGCAGCTGTGTTTGATGATCTGATGGTTTCTTCCACTGCTACAGAGATAAAGGGGATATTATGACCATGATACGAATGTCTAGCAGCTTCCTTACTAAGGTAAATTCCAGTGTTATGAAATACATCTGTACACACTGTAAATGGGCATAACCAGTTTATTACATCACTGTTAACTCCAAAGTAACCAATAACATCTGACGAGCTGTTTGCTGAGTCACATCTCTACACATATTGTAGGAATAGTAAGTAATTTTCCTGTTATGTCTGTCTGACTAAAATTTCTAACAGAGATTGTATGTGTTCAAAATGCCACGGGAGTTTATTTTTAGTTACTTTTTTATATTTCTGGGGAAAGCCATACTCTCTGAAGCCTTTGCCTTCTTTTTTCTTGCACATTTTAAGACTGATTTCATGGCTCCCGCTTCACTGCTTTCATGTTCCCACTCTTTGGAGAAACGATGGGAGAAATTTGAAGGAAACTGCTGTGCCAGCATCTGTTGTTCTTTCTTTTTTTTTTTCTTACCCCTTTTCTCTCCAATCTGTTCACTCCTCAAAATCAATCCGAAAAAAATTAACAATTCACTAAAAGCTCACTCTTACATCCAACCAACTGACTGTTTGCTGAGCCCCACCTCCATCAGTTATTGTTGTCACACCTGCCCGTTTTTTCTTCATCATTTTCAAAACAGTGGGACCTTGTGTTCAGACAGAGGTAGGAAAAAGCAGGTCGATCAGCTGTCGCTAACCGCCTAATTAAGCTTATTTAACTCCACGTGTGGGCTGAAAACATCGTCTCCACTGATTTTTGTTTCCAGCTGATTTTTGTTATGTTTCCAGCTGATTTCGTTTTGATATGAGAACGGTGTAAAAAGGCTCCTAATATGAAACTGATGGCCAAACACTCAATATTATGCTTAAAGTCTGAGCCTATAGCTAACAGGTCCTAGGCAAACATTTAGTATCCTCATCATCCACATAGAAGACATGTAAATAAAGAAGCAGTATTTTTCTTGTATTAGTGCAGAGCCATACAATTATTATAGGGAAAATATCCAACTGTTCTTTTGTTTAATATTATCATTTGGCTGCTGAGCTTTCATTCTTGAACAAGCCAGACATTGGTCATGTTTATGGTTTATTATTTGTATTTTCAAACATGTGGCACTTGTGACATTATAAAAGAGACAGCTTTTAGGATGAGAGCGCTGTTGCTGTTCAGGAGAGGGGTTTAGTGAATGGTCACCCTCCGGCCCGCAAACGCTCTGCACTAATATCTGCATGCTCAGTGACATGCTGTTATTTTCTGAGGTTCCACACAACTTCATCCTCACTGGTGGCAAGAAGGAAAAAAAAGTAACCCACTTCCTGACTCAGACTTGGCTAATGCAGCCCTCTTCTCATCTGGGTCTCATCCTTACTTAGAACTATTACTAATGTAGCATATTTGTTTGAGACTGCAAATTTGTGTGATTAATAAGCTCCTGCTGTTGGTTTGACAGGGACAGACTCCTGTATGATTAACAGGGAATTCTCTGTCTCCTTCCCCCTTTTGTTTCTTTTTGGCTCAGGAGTACCTGTCTGTACATGCCTGCAGTGTAACATCATGTGTACTTTCCAAAACGACAGCCTGCTCTGTAAGTAGGCAAAACTTTCTGGCAGCTGGATTGCGAATCTAAACACTGTTGCAAATTACCAGAAGTACTTTACCCTGAACACACAGTAATACACACTGCAGACTCTGTCGGTGCCAGAGCAAAAACCTTGCACACGCTTCTGTGGGAGTGTGTGTGGTAAAAACCTCTTCCTCAATCTGTCTGTGTAAAGCATAAAAAACAAAAGGAGAAAGAAACAATAGTCTGGTCTACCTTGTTGCATTCATACTTGTAGGGGATCTGTAATGTGTTCATGGCCTGGATCATGGCCTGCATGGCGGTGAAGATGTTCTGGTAGACCAGCCTTGTGAAGCCTCTCTTGTCCTCCTCAGAGTATCCGCGGCCATGGATGATCCTCATCTGCTTAATGAAAGTGCTCTTCCCACTTTCACCAGTTCCTGGCCATCAACAGATACATAACATGCATAACAACATGCATAACAACACACATGCATACACTTAAACAATAAGGCTGGCATTATGCTATTTTTTTTATTATCAATAAAACCCATCTGTCAAAACTTCCCTACGCTGTCTGAGCCTCTCAGCCCCAGGCTCATTGGTTGCTACTGAGGACATAAATCTTCACAAACAGCTCACAAATGTATAGCTTCCTTTTCAAAAGAGAAGTTACTCAATCATCAGTAGTTGTATATTTGTTGTGGACTATTTTCGCCATGGATTCATTTGGATTTGGTGTGTTAGTCAGCATTTAGGGCAGAAGCCCTACCTACCTACCTAGTGTTTCTGTGGATGGCAATGTCAGTCTGTCAGTCCACCACTTTGGTCCAGACTGAAATACCACTACAACTATTGGGAGAAAGTTTGTACAGACAGTCATGTTCCCTTTGGGATGAAGTTTAATCACTTTGGTGATCCATTGACTTTTCATCAGGTAAAACTGTCACTTTGACCAATACTTTGCTTTATGACCAAAAACCTGCAAAACGACATTCAATAAAATGACATTCACATCTACTTCAGCTGTACTTAGTGTTTAGTGCAAACTGACAAGTACAACACATTGTAGCTGCTAAACATCAGCATCTTAGCATCACCACTGCAAGCATGTTAGCATGTTGATGTTAGCATGTAGCTCTAAACACAACTACACCTGAGTATAGCCACCTGCATGGCCGTAGACTCTGTCTCACATGAATAAGCTATATAAAGCTTTCACTACACAGACAATACTTGTTATCAGGATCAATTTATTGTTAGTTTTGATTTCTTCATGGAATTTGTTCACAATATAAAATATAGCATGTCACCAGCCTTATCCCTTAACTCTGTGTGTTGTCAGACAAACAAAAGCAGAGGCAACAGGTTTTGATTATATGGTGTTTGAAGCACTTCCATGTCTCACTCTTATGCAATCTTGAACTTAAATTAATTACCATTGTCTGGGTTGTATCTTGTTTTGGGGCCTTATGGGTCTTGTGTTTATTCTCAGTCAGTTTTTACGAACAGTTTTTTGTCGTCTCACAACTGACTGTGTGTATGTCTGAAAAAGCTGAACAAGAAGAAGTTGCAGCATTTCCCCCTGCAGATGACAACGTTACAAAGCTTCAGCCAGTTAAAATGAAACAATGACACTTCAGCATTGACTATAGATGAGTTTTGATAGTAGCCTGCACTACTCTAATCTCAGCCTCACTAAAATATATATTATATTAAATGCTAGGTAGGATCATTCAGCATGATACAAAAAATACACAAATGTATTAGTGTAAGATTTCTTTAAAATACGCAGTCATTGTTTTGTCAGTGCTGTAGCAACACATCTGACTTTTGAACCTGAAAGGTTGGTTATACATTCATCAGAGAGTCAGTCATTTTTGAAAGCAGGATAACCACAAACAGCGTGACTGCCTCACACCTTAGACTTACTCACAGCATTGTTGATGCATCATTTGTCAAGTAACATAAATGTAACATGTGGCCTCCCAAGATGACGCAGCAATCATTCATTCATCTGCCAGATGGGACTAATGTGTGTCTTCTCATTAGTTTGTTATAATCAGTGGTGCAAGCACATTTACTGTAGCTGAGTACAGTTTTGAGCAGCAGTTTGATTATTAGCATTATTAATTATATGTTTATGCATTAATATGTAAGCAGCATTTTGCTTTTGTCAAGCTAAAACTAAATTTAACCTAACAACTAAGTACATGTACTAAACTACTGTACTTAAGACCAGTTTGGAGGTACTTGTATTTTACTTGAGTATTTCCATTTTATGCTACATTATACTTCACTACATTTCAGAGGGAAATATTGTGCATTTACTCCACTACATTTTTAACAGTGTACTTTTCAGATCAAGATTTTACATGAAAAAAAACAACAGATGTTTGTTTCCTCTCCCAATAATCATCTTGCAACCCCTCAGATTTATCTTGAGACCCTTTGTGCTAATTGTATATAAAGTAGTTAAAACTGGCTCCACCTCAAGCAGCTACAACAACAAAATGCTGCTTACACGCTGATACATCAGTATAAACAATCTGATACTGTACTACACAGCGAAGTCGTCACAGAGGATGTTTTGATTTTGAATGATAACTTTTACTTTTTTATTAAATTCTGCTTATAATATTTCTGTTTTGTAGTTCTTATAGTTAATGTTTTAATGTTTTTTGAGTTACTTTAATTTGAAGCCAGTGGTAATACACTACTTCAGTACAGTTTTTGAGTACTTTAGATAATCAAGTAGTTAAATTTTGTGCTACTTTATACTTCTACTCCACTACTTTGCAGAGGAAAATTTATATATTGGGATAAATTAACTCATTGGGATTTCACATATAAAACAATGTATTTTTACTTTAAATTTTGAATAAAATTGTAAAGGAGTATTTTTACAGTGGGATACTGCTGCTTTTACGGAAGTACAAGATGTAAATACTTGTTCCAGTATTGTTTATAGCAGACCCCAGAAGTGATACAGAGAGAAGTTATTTTTCGTCTCTTACCGAGCAGTAGGAGCTTGAATTCCCGGCGGGCGTCCTTCTTGTCCCGGCGGAGCTGCCTCTCAATCTCATCGTTGATCCTGCGAGCCTCTTTGGCCTCCGGGCTGAGGCAGCAAGCTCCCACGGAGCTCAGAATCATAACTCCTGGATAGCACTTCACCTTAAAGGGCACAGACACATACATAATGTTAGTTTTACAGGAAAATAAAAAAAAGCCCCGATATCCTGAAGTCAGTGTATACTTTGATGAACCCCTCCACAATCCCCACTGCATGCGCTAAAACTGTTCCCCTGAGCTGGAAAAAAGGTTTAACAAATGTAAATTTGAGGAAGTAAAGCAGTTATTCTCAAGGCTGTTTGTATTACCTTTATCCTCTCTTGAGAAGAGGAAATTAACTTTGTGCAACAACTTAAGAAGACTGAAGTAGCGAGTCTTTTACCCCTGGTGGCTGAGCTCCGGGCGTGGTGGGCGGAATATGGCGGAGTTTTACATGATAGTGCTACAGAATGATAGAAAAACGGCAAAAGTCATTCCCCTTTAAAAAAAAAAAAAAAAAAAAGGCTTGTTCTGCCACCGTTTCTGTCTCCGCTGTAGGTGAAGCTCGGTGTTATCCTCCTCAGCGTCCGGTTTTGTTTGTCCTGGGTGAAAAACCAACAGTGAACCATGTGACGGAAGGCTGTGCTCTGATGGGAAACCGTGTGGGCTTTCACTATTACATTATGGGAGCAAATTTCCGATGTTAACTAGTAAACTACGGATGCATGTGACAGTTAGAGCAACAGGCTGACACATCACCTTCTCTGGGAACCAATCACAACCAATACATGCACTGAACAGATATTTCTCATTCCTCTGTTGAAATAAAGACGAGCACGTACGTTTGGAGAATTGTAACACAGACTTTATTTACTCAACACCTGCAGGTACTACAGATTATCAGACACAGAAATACAGATATGACCTGACAGAAAACACCACTCTGGACTCACAAGGCTGCACGCTGCTCACATCCAACTGCATTTTAAGAGATTTAAAAAAAAAAAAAATAATAAAAAAAAAATAAAAAAAACTTTTAAAAGTGCTTACAAATTAAAAACACTTATGTAAGAATAATTGGATCTAACAGGTCAGATGTTAAAGTTGCATTACAGCGAGTCCATCCAGGCGAGCGGCAGAAAATGAATCAAATAGAGAAAAAAAGAAGATTAACAAACCTGTCTTTTAGCTCCACCTCCTTCCAAGAAAGTAGAAAGTAGTCTGGGCCATTCTAACCCCCCCCCCACACACACACACACACACACACACACACACACACACACACACACACACACACACACTTTATACAGCTTCTTGTCTTTCAGTGAAAAACAAAAGTTTTTAAAATTTTCTTTTTGATATATCACACTGGCACATTTATCCCAACTTAAAGCAAAAACTTTGACATTTTGGGAAATATGTTTGTTTGTGTTGTGGCTGAGTTAATCTAGTTGAGACACTACTCTCATCGAGGTCTAGGTCTCATCAAGACTGGAGAGTGGGAGGAAACTGCTAGCCTAGCTCTGCCCAAGGGTAACAAAGTCCACCTACAGTACCAACATCTCAATCAGAGTCTGGAACCCGTCCAATCGTCTTAACAGTGGCCGAGTTTTTATTGTCATTTAAGAGAGGGGCCTTTTATCCAGCCTATGAGCTTCAACTTCAGTATAATTAAATGATTAGAACATTAAAAGTCTTCATTTATATGAACAGATGTAAACTTGTACAAGAAACACTTATGTAATTTTTGCTAGTTTATATTTCCAGTAACCTCAACATTTTAGGAGGTTTTGACTGTTGGTTTATTTGGGCTTCGAGGAATAATGACAGGTATTTTTCACTATTTAACAATTGATTGATTAAATAAAATAATCATCAGATATATGTGAATAACTGTTGGCAGCAGCAACAAATGATATGAGCTTTTGGGGCCCCTGTGCGGTTTCAGTCTTAATTTAACCTAATTAAGAATTCATGGCAAATTAGTCCTACTTAGGATAGCCAAGAACTTTTCTCATCTAAAACTCAGAGCCAGAGAGCACTTTTCCTAAAATGTCAAACTATTTCTTTAACTCCCATTTTACAAAAAGCACTTTATTTGAAAGTGGAAAAGGATGTTGAATCTTGTGTAAAAATTAAAAGTTTATTTAAATGGCTCTTTAACCATTCTTGACACCATGCATCTTCATTTGGAGTGGGTCCTTCATCAGTTGAGGGAAGAAAAAAAAAAAAAAAAAAAAAAAAAAAAAAAAACTAAAAATCACATCATGTTCCTTAAAAAAAAGATTACATTCTGCATGCTGTACTGAAATGAGGGAGATAAGGGCCAGGGGTGGCTCACAACACAGAAAGTTATCACACAGATGAGTTTACTCCAATGACGGCACAAGAATCTCCCAGAAAATAATTACACCTGCACGGAATATGTTGTTGACTCCTTGTTTGCTGTTTGACAGCTTAAGATTTTTCAAAACTCCTCTAAATAAAATTAGCAATGTATAGATAGGTGGTGTAGTGTGTGACAGTGAGGGGAGTGGGCACATCTACCCAAAGCAGAGGAATGTAGGCTCTGAATAGACGGAGCAAACAGTATGGCAGCATGGCTTCACTCTTCTTCTTCAATTCCTTCTTCTTAGAAGAACCGACCAGAGTACTGCCTCACGCTGAAATAAGAGACAGATATAAGTAAGGGCATTTCATGAAAACATTAAGGATATTTATTTTAACAGGAGCATAACATGGGTCAGGAGTTGTTAATGCTGGATGCTGCAAACTGAAAGACATTTCTCATGTGGAGCAGAACTGTAAGTTATAAAAAGTATGCCAAGGTCAAGGCTGAAAATAAATTCTGTCTGCAAGACGCAATATGACTGTTGAGACCAGCTTAGCCATTTAGTGAGTGGGGAAAATAAATGTGTGAACTGAAAACTCTTCAAGATGAGATACTAGTGTAAAAAAAAAAGAGGCTTTAACGCCTTCTTTTTCTGGCATAATATACAAAATTTTAACATTTATCCAAGGCAGTAAAATGTTGAGTTAAGAAATATCAGGTTCAAGTTGAGCAGATTAGGGCTGCAACTAATGATTGTTTTCATTTTCAATTAATCTGCTAATTACTTTGTCAATTGTTTTTTTCCATAAAATGTCACAGAACACTGGAAAACGCTCTATATAATTTCCCAAGGCGACATCCTCAAAGTGTTTGTTTTCTCAGACCAACAGTAAAACTCCAAGAGATGTTCACTTTACAGTTTCAAGTGACAAGAGCAGAAAGAAGCAGAACCTCACATTTGAGAAACTGAAATCATAAAGCAAAGGGCCTGTTCTCCTTCAAAGATGATTAAAATAAATAATTGATTATCAAAAAGTGGCAGATTAATTTTGTGTCAATCAACCAATCAATTAATCGACCAGTTGTTTCAGCTCTAGACAAAATCAGGAGCTTTCTGGTGTTCAGGTTTTCTCACTGCTTATGATCAGCGTCGGGGGTACAGACTAAAGAAGCAGTAGTAACAGTGGTGTCAGTATATAGTGATATAGTACAATTAATATTGCAGCAACTATGTTCACTATAGGAACAACATGTTTTATCAGCTTTTAAGTCTGTGTGTGTTATAACTTTCCACTGGCATTTCTACAGGAAGTAAAGTGGAAGTGAACTATTTAAGACAGCAACTACTAAACTGTTTACTTCCACCCAGCAGTGGATGGTAAACAGGCCATCAGAAGAGACCAGGCTGCTGCAGTGTGATGATGAAGACCTTTTTGGGGGGTGGATTCACAGAAGCACATGCCTGTTCTGCAGCAGGTACTGGGCGTTCTGGATCTGGTCCTGTGTTCCTGTGATGGTGATGATGCGGTCCTCAGAGCCCTCTAGTGGTTCATCAATCTTGATGGATGCCCCAGACTCGTGGCGGATCTGCTTGATCCTCTGGCCGCCCTTACCAATGATAGAACCAGCCAGCTGCACAACAACCAAGCAGAAGTGAAATGTCTTGTCTGTCTTTCTTTACTGTCAGAGTCATGTGTTTTTGAGTGTCAATAGATGCTTTACTCACATCTTTAGGGATGGTGACTTGTGTTGTGATGACAGGGCCTCCTATGTCACTGTATGACCCTCTGCCACCTAGATGGTGAGAAAGTATATTTAAAGTGATTTTGTCTTTAAATAAAATGTGCAACAATATGAAACAATCCCTTTATGTTAGGAAACAAGACACTGGGACAATAATGATTCAGCTCCACTCACCAGATTGAAAGTGATCCCAGGAAGAATTGTTGTCTTTGAAAACATTGAAAAGGAAACAAGAAAGTGAAAAATGAAAATCCACCATCGTGACAGATAGAGTGTTAGTAAAGAAGCAATACAGCCTGACAGAACACCCAAGACAAGTTTCCCCTTTATGTGCTCTTACAGTGTGTTAGAGGGCAAGTACGTTTTTTTAAGGGAAATGATTATTCAATGATGTAATTCTGAGGATGTGGGGACATGTCAAAACTTGCAGCCACAGCTGCAACAACATGGTTTAATGGGGAAAGTAATATGAGTGGTCAGGCCACCCGACAGGTTTTAAACAAATGAGCATTACAGTTAATTCTTGAATAAAAATTTAAATCTCAATTTAATCAAATTATCCAGAACATGGTCAGAAAAGAAGGATAACATACATTAAACTGTCTGTTGTAATCATCCATTGCACTTTATAACTGAGTGCACTATGTATTATGATAAGTACAGTAGACAAACGATAAACCAGGAATCTGCTGCATTGACTTTAGCATCTACTTTTTGTAGATTTAAAAAGTAGTGGTCAAGTGGTTCTATGATTTGACTTGTTCCCCAGTGCAGTCTGCTGTTTAGCAGAGTTTATTGTGTCCCCACATGACATATGTGAAAAGGATGATGGCTAAAACCATGAAAATAAAACCTCAGTTAACAAAAAACAGGATTTTCCTTTGATGAATTAAATGTAGATCTGTGCAGGATTTATACAAATATCAACACTCACCATATCCGCCTCCACTCTGCATTTCAGGATCAATGGGACAAAAACAAAACAAAACAAAGATAAAACATAAAACTGTAATGTCACAATAATGACAGCATGCTCTGAGCGCCTTTTTAAGTTGTCTGCTCAATAATAAGCCACAAACTCTGTACCCATTCAACAATATCACAAACAACCTGGCCAATATGGGTAAGATTCTTTCTTGCATCAAGAACAGCCTGAATTATCTGAGGCACAGATTCAGCAAGGTGCTGGAAATGTTCCACGAGGATCTGAGTCAGGACCAATTCCACAGCGTTAAGCAGTCACTGCACATTTTTCAGCATCATTCATGCTTCAAATATCCCGTTCCACTTTATTTGAAAAGTGCATTATTGGTTTGAAATCTGAGGCCTGCAGGCCACTGAAACAAACTCATGTAATTTTGTGGCCATCCTGAGATAACAGCTTAAAGACGCAATATGTGGACACACCACCTTAGTCTTCTAGATTCCCACAGTGATGTACACTGTCAGTGTGAACAACTTGACAGCATCATCAGTTTGACTTGCAGTTCAACATGCACAATCTATAAGAAAGAAAAGTAACAGCTGCAGCAGTTGCAGACATGTTGCCATCTAAAGGCAAGGAAACAAATTCTTCCAGCAATTTTGACACTTGTGCCGCCTCCAGGCAATGAGTGTTAGAACTGCATTTTTCTTTTGATAGCTGCTGTGTGTCTATGTTTTCTATTTTACAGTTTCATCCTGCAAAATATTTCTGCTGAATACTGAGAAGACTAGGGAGTTCACACTGCCCTCAGACATCTGGTTACTTTGAAGACGGCCCTTAGTAGACAACATGAGGTGGGATAAAAAAAAAAGCAAAGTACATACTATGTAAAAATAAAAGGTAGAAAAGGAACATTACAAAAATATTTGACATTTTAAGAACTATGTCATTGCTTCGTTATATACGAAAATTGTCGCAGGCTGCAACTCGGACATAAGCACTTCAAGAACTTTGAAACTGGGTCAAAATATTCAACTTATTGTGCTTGAGCTTTCAACAATCTGGGATATTACATTTTTTATAGACATGTCATGTCATAGTGCTAATTATACCAAAGAATTAATTGCCCATATTTAGGACATTTAAATGCACAGTAATAATTTGCCTTAACCCAATAAATCCATCCTCTGGCTATTCAAATGGTAATGCATTAATGTAACAGTGAGAATTAGTTCATCACCTAAATATTCTAAATAAATAAAAACACTTTTTAGTTATCTGAGCATGCAAACACTTTGCAACTATATGCATTAAACAGTTGTATTTATGAAGCCTTCAGATGAGTAAAAGTAAAGTGATACATTTCTTTTATTATCTAAGGCTATCTTCTTATCCAGTTAAAGTAATTCTTCATCTCTTGAGGCTCTCACTGCTGAAGTTAATTTGCATTTTGATAAGCAAAATCAGAGTGGTCTTTATAAGTGAAGCTGTATTTATGCAAGCACACCATGTTTACCCTTAAATCTCAGGAATTCAGTGACTTCTATTGGTATTCATCTGATTAAATATATTCTTTTATCCTGTTGGAACAATTTGCAGCTAAGACCTGAAGGGAACCTGTTCAGGAATTGCTTTGGTTTCAGCTCAAGTTGATTTGCTAGCCTGGTGGATCTCTGGACTACGTACTCAGCTGCTCTGCGGTAACCAAGGAGACAAGTGTTGCCAGGCAACAACAGGCCAAGATCAGTGTGCATACACAGTGAAAAAGCAGCACTGTGTCCATGCCTCTGTGCTTGTACTACACTCAGAAAGAGGAATTCCAATCATCTCATCTGAAACACAATTCACAAACACTACACAACTAGGAAGCTACAACCACACAGCCCGGCTAAGCTTAGCACCTGTAAACACAGACGGCACTCACCATGCTGTCATAACGGTCTCCTCTTCCTCTTCTGTCACTACACACAAAAAAGGTATGCATTAATATAGTAAAGTTAATATAGTTTATCTTCTGTAGAGGACACTTAACACCACAGCATCAAGCAGGTCACGGCTGTTAGATTGGTATTTAGAAAGCTGTGAGTGTGAAAGGACATGCAGACTCTACAGATGACCTGTGATCATACTCTGAATCAGGGCTGGTGGGTTGACAGTCTGCCGCTGAGCAACTTTCACTGATATATGTCGCTGTACTTTGGGAGGAATCATATTAACATAAATCCTATAATTTAGCCAGGTGGCAGAGAGTGGCCCTTATTTGAGGCAAGCTTATGTCAGTGTGAGGCCATTATTTCTAATTTCCCCTGTTAGCTTGTTGATACAAACTCAAAATGTACCTGTTGTATTAACTTAACCATAATATATAATATTTCCACAGATCTAAGTATCAGTACAGAAAGAGTCATGTCAGGCATTCTACTTCTCCCAAATTATGTTAAGCTACCATGCCTAAAACTCAACACTTCCTTCTGAATTTTCACATTAAAATGTCCCTTTATACACAGGCTTTTGGCCATTATTTCAAAACCAGCTTTTATATGATAATTTGCAGTATTGACAATCCTACTCACCTTGGTCTGTCGTCCATGCTGCCGTGGTAGCTGCCATGTGAGAACCTGTCTCCCCTGCAAACATTGACAGACAAAGGAAGGTATTGGAAAAATAAAACGTAAATGTTCAAAAGTATCTAAGCAATTGGGTGTCTGAGGGTTTGTTCACACCTGTGGTTTGGTTTATATGATCTGGAACAAGGAAAAATAAGACATCACATTGTTACCTTTTTTTACCTTTTAGTTCACACCTGCTTTTTATAAACTACCACAGAGCTAATAGGTCATATGGACAGTTTCCTTTTCATGGAGTGGTGTGCATACACGTTAACGTGGTTACAAAACAATCTTGTCCTCAAGCCTGTACTTATACAGCAAATCCATCAGCAGTTCATGATCAGTTGGTGGATTTAACAGAAGATAAGCTTTCGTATTCATGTTAAAATCACATATCTACTATTAGTTTGAGACCACAACTGAACTGCTCCAGAGTCTGGTTAGAGACAGACCAAGACCCTTCTCTTCAGGAGAACTCGGTCAGAGTTCAGCCGACAGTTTTCAAAGCAGCCCAAACGAACCAACCCAAACACACTGGAGTTCATTTTAACCTCCTCACCCTCCTCTTGGTGGCGGAGGCGGGGGAAGAGGCAGGTTACGTGCACGACTGCCGCCTCGTCCACCTCTGCTCAGCGGTGGTGGAGGACCCCGGCGGGGGCTCATGTCATCGTAGTCCCTTCTGGAGGGAGGCATGGGTCTGTTGCCACGAATTGGGGGCATTCGCTCAAAGCCCCCACGCACACGAATGGGGAAACCCCCAATGGGTCGTCTGCCTCTCTCCTCAAATAACATGGTGAAACCTCCATAGTCGTATGTCTCATCGTAGAAATTTGGGTCATAAGGCTGGGCACGACCTTTGATTGGCGCCTGCAAAATGAAAACAAAGGAAATTAAAAAGAAGAGATCGTAATAGACTCTCCTGCACGGAAATAATTGTTGAAATAGTTGTTTTGTTTAAAGCACACAAAACGATAATCTTCTTAACATTTCACTTCTCAGTGATGGATTTCAGCTTCAAGTAACTATTATTACATCTGCATGTGTGCATATGTTCTCAGTGCTGTAAACTCACCTCTGACACCAGCTCCAGGATCACTTTTATACATTCAATGACACGTTCTGGCTTTCCTCCCACCAAGACGACTCTGTCGGTGGAGTGTGGGCAGCACTCCTGGAACAACTTGATGGTGGTCTGAGTGTTCTGGCACGTAGAAACAAAAATATGAGACCAGACCATCAAAATTCACTTTTGAGCGCTTCGCTACTGAACTAGCCTTATCTTAATAGTCAATCAAATCAAACACATTTTAATAGTTCAATACATACATATGTTCCCATACAGTCATCATTAACTATAAAACAATTATGTCTCTAATAAGTCATCTACAGGCCATCAGTTCGTGCAAAGCACCATGGCAAGGCTCCTGCTAATCTGGACTCTGTCCTACCTCTCTCAGCTCCTTTATCTTGGCACCTTTCACCCCAATGATGCCCCCTGCCAAGCTCTGATGGATCAGCAGGCGAAGCTCACAGTCAAAATCAATCCCACTGTAATGCTGGTACTAAAGAAACAGCACAAGATCAGTAATGTCAGTGGGGCCTGAAACTCATCCTATAGTTGCAGAAACAAAGCATTTCTGCAATTAAATAATCTATGTTGCCAATGAGTGGAGAAAAAAAAAAGATGGCCATCCTACTTTATGTAAACCCAACATCTAGTCGGATTTAAGTTCAGTCCACACAGAGAAATGTAAATTCTGTACAGGAGAGTCAGAATCACAGAAGCAATTTGGAAATCCACTGCAAGCTGTTAAAGGACATGTGCTGTAAAAACTCTTGAAAATATCACTTTTGTTCATAAAAACAATAGGAATTACTATTTTACTTCCCCGAAATGATGGAACTTAAGAACCAAAGCACACACAGGCCTCAGGTCAGGTACTGTATATCATTTCAGATTAGTGAATTCTCAATGAAAGGAGCAACCGCATACTTTTATCTTTTTTAATCTAATTAAAATTTGATTTGATTATTAAAAAAGACTTTTGTAGAGATTTGAGTGTACTGATGCTCCTCTCCTTGAATTTGATACTTTTTTTTTTTTAGCTCCAGCACAGCAACTAAGTCTGATACCAGGTGAGCAGAGTATAAATTTTTTCCTCTCTATTTGACTAAATTTGCGAATTTTCACACTCACACTTTTATACTAAATAGCTGTAAAATAAGCAGTATGTGTCAACTTTAGAGGATATTTTTTAAAGCAGCATGGGGTAACTGACAGACCTACAAAGACCCCAAATAATTGGCACTAAAATTGCTGCTGCTGCAGTCACAAAATTTATTAGATGATAAAAAGGGACTCTCAATATTTCATTGCAGCATTTTTCAAACACAGAAAACAGTACTGTTTTAGAAGAACAGTGGTGGAAAAGATTGAACTCATTAAAAAGCTAAGATTCATCTGAGTAGAAAAATCAACAATATAACAACAAAGGTGCCATTTGGAAAATGTATCCAAGAACAACAAAGTAAGATGCATGTGTTATGGGGTGCACAAAACCTGGAGCAGTATAAATGTGTAATTGTTCACTTTGTTGTTCAGACACATCTGAAGCAATGTGCACCATTAGCAAAATATTGTAATAGATCAACATTAGTATGAGCTGCCATTGCATGGGAGTCACTGCAGTGATTGGTCTGCACAGTCAAATAACAGATCCAGGCTCTCACATTGACCTGAGCAGTTTAAAAAGACCACTGCAGTAAAACTGTAAGGGTGACTTATGGCCAATCAATGAGTGTTTCTGAAGTAGAGCTCTGCCATTTGATCCAATGAGTCCCAACAAAGTAAAGGGTTGTTATTCAGGTCACGGCAGTTTCGTTGTGTAAAGTTCAGCTCAGGTTTTGTCATTTCATCCAAATAATGCTAATTAACATGGTGGCTCACCTCCTCTAGAGTCGGTATGATTTTCAGCAGAATCTCTCCAATAGTGTCGATGCTGGCATTCACACTCAGGATCCTGTCAGGAACCATTTTGTCCCAAAAGGAAGCAAGGCATTACAAGGGGGACAAAAACTAGAACACAAAACAAAACCTGATAAAGAAAAATAAATAAATAAATAAAATTTAAAAAAACACGCGAGAAGCAGTCCAGCAAAAAGTTACGGAGAGACTTACAAAAGATTTCCAACTAAACAGGAAAAATTAAGACTACGCACAATTATAACTTTTCCCAAACACTAAACTGATTAAATAAGAAGCTGACATGCACTCAATCTAATATTATTCTCAAAGTAAGAGAAGCGTTGGGAGGATGGGCAGCTTCAGAACGGCTCAAATTAACGTGAGACTGGCCACACAGATTTGGGGAAGGGGGTGTGAGAGAGAGAGAAAGAGATCTTCTATAACCATCCCACCACCAGCAAGTTGAGGAAAAGGAACGTAACAAACTGAAAGAATAACTTGCCATGACAACTGCGCCTCCAGCACACCTTCATTGTGACCAGGGGGGGTTGGGGGAGAAGGGAGAGGTGGGGAGGAGAGGGCTTGGGGCTGAGGTGAGGAGGAGACGAGGTGGGCAGTAGAAAAAGAGTAACAGAGCAGAGGAGTTGAGGTGGGGAAGGAAATATGAGTGATTACCAACTACTCTGTGGCACAGGACAAGAGCAGGGTTGGGGTGGGGGGTTGGGGGTTATGAAAGGTTTGGCAGGCAGCTCTGATCTGATGTGGCCTGAGAGAAATTTAACAGAAGGGATGCAGCACAATGAAATAAAGAGACGACATTAATGACTGACAGAGTGGGGGACGGAGCCTCCAGACAAGAGCCAGTGCTCTCTCAGAGATAATGGACAGTGATGCTGAAAAAAGTGGAGGGGGAGGGGTGGAGGAGGAGGAGGGGGTAGGGGTGGGGGGTGGAGTCGGAGGTGAGGGGGCCAGGTGGGCCGCAGAGGACAGAGCGAGAAAAAGATGTCTGCTTTCTACAAGTTTCATGGTAAAATTAAACATCACAGCAAGGAAAAACAACATCCAACAGCTGTGTTGCTAACCATAAAATACCAACTACTTGGTAGTGGGTTGTCAGTGATTCTCTGCATGGACAATAAACTGTAATGACAAAAAGTCCAACTGAATGGAGATGCTTAAAATGGACAGAAAAATCAAAAGGAACAATACATGTCTCTTACAAGTGGAGGAGGGGGGTGTTTGGGGGATGGGGAGTATACTGTCATGTATATAAAAATGTTAAAATGAAACAGAAGGCAGGTTATCAAAGACATGTGTTTCACTGTTCTAATCAGGCAGTGAGGCAATAACTGGTGGGACATACCGCTCTGGGCCACTGCTGTCTGGGACTGATACACTGGCATTGTACTGCATGGGCCGAGGTGGTGGTGGTGGTGGTTGTGGTGGTGGTTGTGGTGGAGGAGGTTGGCATTGGGCGGGGGCATTCAATCACAAGATGTCAAGTAAGGCGCCCGTTTAAGGAGGGGCACGGTTTATGGGCGGGGCCAACCGGGAGTGTCAGGTGGGCGGGCGGGCGTTCAGGGGCGGGCGGAGGTTGGGCCAACGTCAAGGTGGGCAACGCAGGAGGGGCATGTCGATCCAGTACATGGGCAACGGAGGAAGGTGGCCAAAAATAAAAACAAAAAAAGTAAAGGAGAAGGGAAGAGGGGGAGAAGGAATACATTTTTAATTGAATACACGCTATACTTTGTCCCAAAAGTGAAGAGAAAGTGAGAGACTTGAAACTGTGGTGAGTGAAGAAGAACAGGAGGTGTGACCTGGACAAAGATAAGTTTAATAAACAGTCTGGAGCACTACAGAGATTTACGTCCCTGCAAAAAAGGTTATGTCCACTCAGGTTTTCAGGAACCTGTTGTCACTTCAAGGTCAAACATAGCTTCAACACTGTGAAGGGAACTGGAATCAGGCTGAAACTCACACGAGGACTGGAAACAAAACCCAACAGATCTGTCTAACAAGGTCTCCCTTGTCAGTCTACAAGAGCCAACTTGGTTTAATCGCCTAACAGTGCATGTCAATTCTTGATATCAAACGATTAAAAACCTGCTGGCAAGAAATCTGGGACTGTTTCTGTGGGAATTCAATGAATTGGGGGTTGGAATAATTTGGAATTTAGGTTTGGATTTTTTTTAAATATCTCTCGACAGCACTTAAATGTAGCACAGTTGTTAGGTCCAAAAAGACCTATGCAGACTCTGCAACAGAAGGGGCATTAGCCAACTAAACTTTCTCCGCAGCTGCAGAAATGTTAGCAGCATTTTATCTGTTACTCACGTCCGTGCGTAGGGCTTTTATGTTTTTTCCACCCTTTCCAATAACAGCACCAGCGTTCTGTGAAGAGAGAGACGTTTTCCTTAGACAAAAAAAATCTCTTTTGATCAATATGAAAAAAAAACAGCATAATGGCCCAATGTGAACTGAATGGGTTTTTACTTTGCTCTGAAGCAGTACACGCAGCTCCACCATCTCGTCTGTGTTCCGCGAACGTTTGAAGGCCTGCTCCTCATCCATGTCCTCAGCTGGGCGTTTACCTGAAGGGGAAGACAATTCAGATCAAATCTGAGCCAGGCAGTTTTTCTGTAATTCATGGTTTACAGCAGACTTCTTGGGTAATAACTTTAAGGCCACTGTTCAGAATTGGATCATTTCCAAATTTGGCACCCCAGTATGGCAGTATAAAAAATGCGGCACTATGGTTTTGGAATGCTTAGAATAAAATGGCAAAGCAAAGGGCTACGGCCACTGAAGGGTTAATAGAAGTGACAAAAATATAAATAAACGGCGACTGCGAGATCTACAGTATGTTCCACCCCAAGAATGGGTTTCATTCAGCAGCCAACTGTATCCTGGAATATGTCCAGCACCACCATGTACCCTTCCTGGATTAAAACACAGGCAGATCTGCTCAGGGCCCACAGAACAGCAGTATCTTGGACAGGAGATTCCCTCAACCATCTGACATGTCCACATGCTACATAGAGGAAGCCAGAAAAATTTCATTTTTTCCCTTTTTTCTCCCTTGAGTGGTCTAATTAGCTGATTTATCTACACACTCTATTTTCAAGATGGATGTAACACTAGACAGGCTCGGTTCGTTTTCTACTTAGTGCATGAGCTCATTCATACAGTTTACATTATGGTCATGAATGGCTGAGTTTTCTCTTTGTCACGATGACAATGTGTATGATCTTACTATTAGTGTCAGTGTTGCTGAATGTGATGTCTTCGTCCTGCTGTTCGATTTTCACCTCCATTGTCTTGCACCTGCCGAGGAATACAAACAGGCTCCTCTCCCTGGATCTGCTAAAAGACGAGGCAGTAATACAATCAGCTAAGCCACATATTGCACGTTGCAAAGACCAATCTGATCAAATATTTTGATTAGGATAATTATCTTACTATCATTTTATCTGCCAATAATTTTCTTGAGAAATCGATTCATTGTTTGGCCTAGAATAGGTCAGAATATAGTCCATCACAATTTCCCAGACTGCATCAAGTGTCTTGTTTTGACCAACCAACAGTCTAAAACCCAACGATATTCAGCTTACTGCCACATATGATGAGGAAAACCAGCAAATCCTTTCAAATTAGAGGACTTGGACCCGGCAATCGCTTGGTAATTTTGTTTGATAAATGACTGAAACTACTGATCAATCATCAAACTAGCTGAAGATAAATTTTCATTGCATCTTCTACTGAATTCATAATTTCAGGTCTAATTTTGATAGCTGACAAGTGCGGCTAAGAAAGACAAGATCATATGAAATCATGAGTGAAGTATACATGAAGCAGCATTCATGCTGTCTGATTGATTAAACGCTCAGAATATAGGATTCAACAGTTCACTCCTACATGAACTATACCAGTGCCCAAGCTACTGTATTATAGATTGCACAAAATTGACAAATGACAGACACATAAATATATGTTTCTGTTTTAAATATGGAGCTCTATTTTTAATATGCATCTTGTCTTTTTAATGAGTCTTGTTTTGAATATATCTATGAGTTTTAATGTGTTTCTGTCACCCCCCCACCCCCACCCGTGACCGGTAGAGAATGATATCTCACTCCAATGTGTGCAAAGTGTATATTATGGAAGTGACAATTAGGTCTCACTCTGAACGCTAGTATGCACAAGCAGTCCTCCTACATGCACATCCCGCTGCTGCTAGTTGAACACTGTAAAAGCAGTCTGCACTTCTGCAAACATCACCCTTGTACCGAGGCCTTGCCAAACTTATAGACATGGTCTGGACTGGTCAACGCCTACATAGCTTGGGAATAAGCAGCACCCATTTTAACTACTACGGGGTTTTCAAGAGCAGCCACGGCCACCACAATGTTTGGATAAGGCTCTCCAGAAAACACATATTCATAGGCGCATTAGCGAAGCTCATCACGCACTGTAACTTACTATATCAACCCTTTCTGTCCTTTTTATGTCCAACTAAATCCAATACAGCTATCAGCAGAAAGGAAACTGCGCAATTCCTTACACGTAAAAGGAAAACGTGTTTGTCACCTGATGTGTCTGCCTGCAAACAGAAGTTAGCTAGCCTGTCTGCGGGTGTTGCTAAGTTGACATTAGGTTACTTTGCTATGCTAACAGCTCTGCTAAGCTAGCCAGTTGCTTTCTGTGCGATTCGCGAGGCGTGTCTGCCAGTTTCACTGTACACGTTGCGACTGTACAACACTCACTACCGAGAAATAACATGAACACAACGGAACAACCGAGCTATGCTCCTAATGTCAGCGGCGAAATCTTAATATGTCAACCATAGCTAGCAAACAGGGTTAATGACGCGACGCTATATTACCGAACTACCGAAATATAACAGTTGGGAAAACAAACCTGCAGTAAAACCACGTTCACTGCGGTCCACCGCGGTCTCCTCGCCCTGAAACGTTTGCACGTTTTCAGCATGGAGAGAAGACTCTGTGGGTGAGCTCGATTCGTTGACACTCACCCAGTGGTTTGTTTCTTTTGCTTCGCAGGTCAGCACAAGCGGGCGGGGCTAAGACACATTAAAGTCACCGAAATGAATCGATGTACCCGTATAGCAGCGCGAGAAGAATTTATAAAAGCTCTCCCCGCATCGGTGGAGATCTTGTCCGGGGTGAATGCTCACAGGCAGCTCCTCTGCCTACTATCCCGCCTCCTCCGGCAGACTCCTCCGGCAGACACCCCCGTCTACCTCCAACAACCACTCCGTGACAAAGTGAGGGTTTTCATGTCCTAAACAACGACTGTCAGGTTCGTTTTTAGCTTGTTAAAGCTAGGTTTCCTTTGGATTTCACAGCTGGTTCACAGTTTAACATTCTACCAATATATTGCCCCAGATCCAAAAAGCCACTGGGACATCCACTGGTTCCACTGGTTTTAGAAATTCGGGTAGTTAAGTTATTTGAACCACTAAAGTAGGCCTACAATATCCTTAATTAAAGTTGTGTTAAATCTCAAACAGAGACAAGTAGATAGTGCACACTAGATCTGATTGCAGGACTTAATGGAAACTTGCGGGTGGCAGTGTATATATTCAGAGGGGGGTATTTGGGGGCCACACAGCAAATATTAACTCTAACAGGTTAACAACCCGGGCAAAATTCATTGTTGGGCCTCTATGGACCACCACTGCACATGGGAGGTTTATTATTTCCCCAGGCACCCAAGAAATCAACCACTAAACAAGAGCTGTTGATGATCAAAATTAATTGGCAACAAATTGGATACCCCATTAATCGTTTACATCATTTTTTGAGCAGGCATGTCAGCAAATCACAAATACCAGCTTCTCATTTGTAAATATTTGCCAATTTTCGCTGTTTTCTATGACTGTAAACTCATAATCTTTGGGTTTTTGATAGTTGGTGAGACAAAAACAAAAGAAATTTGAATTTGTTAGCTTGAGTTTCAGAGAATGATGGACATTTTCACAATTTTTAGATGATCATTTTATACACTGAACAATCAATTAATTATTGATTTAATTGATTTAATTACATCTTACCATACTTCTACTATGGTGGTATATCTTGCCTAGTCCTAAAACTTGAAGTGTATTAGCTTAGAAAAGTGAAAATTTTTAGTTTGAAAGTACTGATCCAATTATATTTTTAAGTGTGGGTCACTTTTCCCAATTGTATTTAGTAGTGGGTACAAAAAATACCTAATTAAAGCTGAACTGAGCAGTTGATTAATCTATTAATCGATCAATAGAAAATTAATCGACTCCACTTAAACTATTTTGATAACCTCTGTCTGCAGGTTTATCACAACTCATAGTGGGTTCTTGACAAAAAAGAACATGTTCTTCAGAAAATGTAGATTTTTATATCTTTTGAATGTGCACATGGGAAACTGATCCACCAGGTCAAGACAACCCTGTTGAAAGCCTTTTAGAAGTTGCATGACAAGTTGACGAGCAACAGAGCAGCAACAATACAAAACGTAAAACAATCATCAACAATACTTGGAAGTCATTAATCTGAACCAGCTACACCAACCTGTTCTACCACCAGGCTCATTTCATCCTAACATTATTTGGGCCAGACGTTGATGAAGGCAAGATCAGTCATGTTCACGTCGAGATGGAACAAAAAACTGTTGTGTTGATTTCACAACCAAATGTAACACATGAATCCTGTGTAATGACTACAGTTTTAGAAACACTGCCTGGCCATAGCAGTTTTGGCTGCTCTCAGTGTACTTACAGTTTCAAAAACCATTTCAGGGAGATTCAGAGACAAAAATGTACATACAGCTAAAAACAAAGATAAAAACTGAATGAAACATAAAGGAAATAACTGATAAGCACATACAACAGATGTGTATATAGATATTTATAAAAGGCAGCAATTAACAATATCATACACTGTCTATATACAATTCAAAACAAGAATACAATAATGCAAGGGTGCAGAGTGCAAAGAGTGCTGGAATAAATATTAAATGAGTAATGTTTTGCAGCGTGTTTGGATTTTAATTGACGATGATTGTGATACATGTTAAAGAAAAGTGTGTATTTTAAACTATAACTATCATTTATTATTTGTAGGTACAGTCGATGTTTTGGTGTTACAGGGTTATTGCACAGGGATTGTCAGTGTTTGTTCTGACATAAGTAAGATTTGTTGTGTCTGGAACAGAGCTATTGTTTGGCTGTTACAGTGCGCGTAATCCACAACACTACACAACAGAGGCAGTGGATAGTACAGGATGTATATCAGTGGGCTGTGTCACAGCTGCATCACTCCACGCAAGGTTCAAGACAAGTCTGCCACCAGCTGGTTCAGGAAGCGGTAGGAGCACAGACGGAGGAGTTGCAGAGTTGGATGATGCAGAAGTGGCACCAAACTAAATGTACAAAAGGAGGAAGATCTCTTGGTGTGTCAGAATCACAAGTCTCAGCGTGCTAAGCATAAAACTCCTCACCCTTAACTCTTTCTACTACACCTGAAAGTAGGGGTGATTCCAGCTAAAAACATCATCAGTCTCCAAGCAGTGGGAAAATTACAAAGATAAATTATAAAAACAGATGAAAAATGAAATAAAAAGATATGCTTTGAATTCACAAGTAATTTCCTCATCTTCAAAAGAAAGCACAATTCACAGAGAGCCCATGATCTTTATTATATATCATATTGCTTTTGATTGCCTGAAATTGAACCAATGTGCAGTGCAACTAGATTTTCTAGTTTTTCTGCAGTGATAAAAAAAGATAAGGCCATGAGATCAGACTTGCTAATCCACAGCCACCACCCCACTGCCCATTTATTGCAAATCAGGAGCCTGAATTATGTCCATACTTGATCTATTTTAAACATCCTTTTTTTTCCTCTCGTAGTGTTGTCATGCTCCTACAGATATAGGCAAGGATCTATTGCAAAATAAAGAGCTCTCTTCCCTCTCCTATACTCTGAGGTTACCATGGAGACAGATATAATTCAGTTCTTGATGTTTCTCATAAAAAAAAGAGCCTGCGTACATATTTTCATCTGCAACCATAGCGACACTTGACATTGTCCGCGCTATTTGTAAAAAGCAAGTCACCATAGCGACACTAACCATCCAGGCTGTGTCATAGATCATGTGTCCTAGCTGAGTATGCCTCCTCATTATGAGTGAAATTTAGGAATCCACCAGTAAACAGGATTTATTTCATCATTTTCAAACATATTATCACCTTGATGTTTAGCAGTGCACAGTTAATGAAAAACACAGGACTTATGTGACATTTAATTTGCACAGTTTGGGACATTTAAGGTAAAAAAAAAAAAACCCCAACATGTTAAAATTATGAGAAATTAATGTACACATTTGTGAGTGGACACTAACATCAGTGCAACAGACTTACAAGTCTAAATATAGTTGATAATTTAAAATGGAAAAATAAATCTATTAATTAGGTCAGGATTTCTCAAACTTGAATGAAAATATGGGCTGGCATAGTCTGTCCCTCTCAGAGTACACACACATGTTTACACATGACTACAGTGGGTTGTCATGTAGTTTATTTCTGTAAAATGAATAGAAAAAATAGAATTATTTTTGTCAAAATTCTATTTGTCAGGATGAAAAAATATATATATGCAGCATTTTTTTTTACCCCAATTCATGCTCCATATCGTAACCTGATCAGTGATTTGAGTGAAACCCATTTGAAGCTTGCAGACATAGTATAGGTAATTATTTTTCATAGATGCACCCCGTCTTGTGCGTCAACCGTACGTCACACTATAGGCCTAATGGCCAACCGTACAACAGTGTTGGTGTGGAAGAAGCGCTGCTTTCATCCAGTGCATGGCTGCAGGGGTAACTACAGCACGAGAGTTTACATCCATATTGTTGTTGTGCCCGCCACGAACAGGGCATTTGACCCACAGCTGGCCACTTGTGCAGCCTGTAATAACAGTGCAGCAGCTGATTGTTTAAACGGTTTTGTTGCATGAATCAAAAATAACAATCTCACAAACAAATTCCTATAAATACAACTTGTCACGAATACATGTCCGGGGTAGCCTAAACATCGCGACCACCCCCCACCCCCCCACCCCCCCATAAACCCAATCCCAGTGATGGCTGGGGGAGATGCGCTCGTCCTCGTCGATAATCGATAGACGGATGCAGGTAGCCTTCCTCCCTACACACGCAGCATCACCACGCATCCGTACTCCACTGTGCAGTCTCTCTTATTTTCCTCCCCATCACCACACATATGAGAAAACGCTCGTGGGGGCCCTGCCTATTGATCTCTAAACATCTGGAACACCTCATATTTGTTTTACAAGGCAGAGGCGAACAGTCTGTGCCCGAGATAGAGGAGTGAGACAGCAGCAGCAGCAGCAGCAGCAGCAGCACCAGGTGGGACCACTTGACACCTTGCTTCACGGCATCGATATGCAGTAGTGTGATACCAGCTCTGCGGAGACGGGAAGGCCAGTCCATGGCATCTTGATATTAAAACCGTGGGCTCTGCGCATTCCTCACCGACGGCGTAGTCTTTTTTCTGCGGAGTCGAAAGGATTAACTTGGCCAGATAAAGGCGGCGAGGGAGGAAATCTTACCAATATTTCAATTTGACCAGATTCTGTTTGGGGGATTCGTGGGATATCATTGGACCTGCGATGGACTCCAGCGCGGGGGAATATGGCATGGCTCGTCTTGGATTGTTTTTGGTTTTGATGGGGCTGTGGAGATTTAGTGATGCTTGCCCCGCATCCTGCACTTGCAGCATCTCAAGGATTGTTTGTATTGATTCTGTACCAGGGATCGAGGATTTCCCTGTCCTCACGTTAGATGACATGGAAAACATCACCGAGATGTAAGTGTATGAACGTGAATCGTGCAGACAGCTTATGAACTTATTAGGATGCAATGCGTAAAGAACTACCTTCGATCGTAGGTCGCAATAATACCCAAGGGCTAGGATTATTATACTAATAACAAAGGTAATAAGAACATCAGCAGATGGTCTGATATTATTCCCCCTTGTGGATTAAAGATCAATAGAGATTTGTCTTCTGCGCTTAATGTCAAACACAAAAAATCGTGATTTTATTCGTATAACCACTGGGTTTGTCAGATCATGTAGCCAAGTATATGTGTGCGTGTGTATGTGTGGCGGAGATGGGGGCTGCGCGTGCCACTAACGACGATAGTGTGTGTGTGTGTGTGTGTGTGTGTGTGTGTGTGTGTGTGTGTTTGTGTGTATATATGTGTGTGTGTGTGTGTGTGTGTGTGCGTGCGTGTGTGGGTGCGTAATGGTGGTAAGAGTGTGCGTCAGGCTTATTTGGATTAGTCGGTGTTTCCTTTACAAAACAGCTCCAGAGGTAGTGATGGAGTAAATGTTTAGGCCCAACGCAGCCTCCGAGGTGTTAATTCGGCTTTTTGGGCGGCGGTGTGAAAAGAGCCTCAACATTTCTGAAATGACCACATTGTTGCCAGATTTACACATGAAACCACATCAGTTGTATACAGCCGGCGATAGGCTACCCACAGTTATGTAGCCTTATCTGCGTCAGCGTGTAGGCCCCTTTGTCGGAGTGTACCTGCTACAACCCTGCACAAGTGTACAACTGCATGGCACCCACTGGAGAGCGGAGGGGAGACTGGGTGAGTTTTCTCAGGCAGACAGACTGGAACCAGATGTAGTTTACTGGGCGTCCACTGTCGCTGGATCAAAAAATGATTATTCTTCATCCTGCAATCAAAGAAGTCTTTCAGCAGCTTACACCCGGTACATTCCCCCCAGTTTGTCTAAAGAAACATCTTATTTGTGAGTAAAGTGTAGTTTTGACTAATAAACCCAGCAGTTATCACATTTGAAGCATAATAGAAAACTTTAGACTTGCTAAAGATACTTCAACCTATAAAACATTTCCAGCTTGGTTTTGTTAAAGGTATAATCCACACGTAAACAAAAGTGTCTCCCCACTAAAAAGATGTAAAACAACCTGCAGTCAAATTGACTCAAGTTTTTAAACAGAAGATAACACCAGACAACAACTAAAGTGAAGTTGTTCATATTTTCTGATGCTGCGAAATGTTTATTTAAATGTTATTTTAACTCAAACCCTCCACAATGTAACTAATTAATATAGTAAGAAATGATTTCACCTTAAAATATTTCACATTTCATTGTTGTTTTGCATCATCATGCCTTGGAATATTTAGTTTGTGCTCATAAAAAAGGATTTCAAGTTTTGATTTGTGATTTCAAAAGTACATGAAGGTGCATTGATTATTGTCTCACACCAAGACACTTATTAGATATCATATAATATTACTTTAGTAGTGTTATTTTTATTAAAAAACAAGGAAAAAACCTTGGCAGTTTTGACTTTATTAGGCCAAAAAAAGCTGTTATATTTTGATCTTTATGAAAAAATCTACATGATCTTTTTATATGTCCCGCAATAAATACAAGTAAAATGAACATAAACAAAAGCAATCGAAGACACCATCTCTGTCACTCAACATGCTGACAGTGTGAAAACACATACTGTTGTATTGGTTCACATTATATTACCAATCAAATCAAATTCCCTCAGTGAAGGAATATAAGGTACTGTAAAAATGAATGTCAACAAAATGAGTTTCATAAAATACACAAAACAACTGACTCTCTGAGATTGTGACTATAATGTGTGGAAGGATAAAGTTTATAATACACACAGATATAGTGTCGTTTCAGAACAAGTTATTTAGCTGACCATTAGTGCGTCTAACAGATCTGTCTTTTATATTTTTTCACAGATTCGTTGCCAATCAAAACAGACTGTTTGACATCAACGACAACAGTTTGAGGCACTACATAAACCTCAGAAACCTGTGAGTATTATACAGTTTTTTTTTGTGTGTTTTACACAGAATTAAATGATGTTTTCTCTAATCCAAAAAAGTTATAGATGACCTGATGACTCTACATTTGAACTTCTAACAGAACAGTGACAAAGACAAGATTGGCATCTATATCATCAGACGCATTTTTCAACAATACAAGACTTCAATATGTGTAAGAAGGATTTTAAAGACCCTCTTTAGATATTTCATTGATGTACTGGAGTTGCCGTGCTTGGTGTTTTATTTTAATTTTTTTCCTCTTTTAGAAATCTCAGAGACAATAATCTATCGACGCTGTCATGGAGAACATTTCAGAACTTTAACACAACATTCCCGTAAGTATCACATGTACATTAGCCCACATGAACTTGTCAGTACCTTTCTCTCTTTTTGTGCAAGACAATGAGCTTCTCATGTGTTGTGTTTTTATTTTCTAGGCTCCTCCTGTCTGGAAATCCTCTGGACTGTGTTTGTGAGAACTTGTGGATCAAACTGAGACTACAAGAGGAAAGCGACGGTCAAGAGCTGAAATGCATAGACGACAGAGGAGAGACGAAGGCCTTTGCCACACTCACTCCACCCGACTGTGGTAATGTGAAACCCTGTTATAAAAAGCAACGCTGGGTATCTGATATTGAACCTTTAGAAAGGTGATCGCCTCATGAAGACAGAAAAGAGAGATTGAAACGAAGACAGAGAGAAATCTGGAAACAAATCAAACTATGTCAAGTTTAATTTTACTGTCTGTTTGTGTCTCACAGTGGTTCCCAAAGTGGAGGTCATCCCCAAAATTGTGACCAAGATGCAGGGGAGTAATGTCAAAGCTGTGTGCAACGCCTCAGGCTCCCCTCTTCCTGAGATCCTGTGGAACCTTGATATGCTCTCGACCCAGCACGAGGTGAGCCAGTCTACCTCGCCGCCCCCCATTTGAACCTTTTTGGTACAGGTCTACTACTTTGGGCTCTTGACTTCTTAAGGTTTTGCTGTTTGAGTGAAGTGGAAATGATAATGTTAAACCTTGGTAATGACCAAAAGACACAAAACTAAATCCCAAATTTTGTGTATCCAAACCCTGATATAACTTATTCATCTTCTTGCATAGCTCTGGTAGCATTAATTAAAAAAAATCAGTGAACTGAGCATCCCACTGCCGGAGCACCAAATACACAGTTGACTCCTGTTTGAGTTTGTGTGCTAAAAAATATGGTGCCCAGCTGTTAAAAATACGAAATTACTTAGCCTATTTTAAAATGAAACCTGTACTCTGTTTTCAAATATTTACATCTTCAAAAGGAACCAGTGAACTTTGGGCTGAGGGCCACAGCAGGGCAGGGAAGTCGAGGAGTAGACATTAGACGGACTAAGACTTTGTTGGTCTTGGTCTTTTCTGTTGATATTAAGAATAATATAGAATATGACTGGCCTCATCCTTTAAGTGACACAAAGGAAGACTTAAGTTGAGACTTCAGTTGGACTTGACTGCTGTGAGACAAGCTTGGGACTTAATGTTCCTTAAAGACGTGACTTGACTTGAGACTCTAAGGCAAAAGTATCCAAGTCCAAGTCAGACAGCTTGAATATAATATAATAATTAGGCCTTTGCAAAGTTCTTGGTGTCATCTGTGCTAAAATATTAACACAGTTTTAAAAAGGTTCAAATGCCATGTCATTTAAATGATCAAAAAGGATTTGGAGACCTGAAACACTTGCAGTTTACTTGTAATTTAAGGCTTGTGACTCGATTTAACCTCGAGGGCTTGAAAATTGAATGGTCAAGACTTGATGCTTGACTGGAGACTTAACTGGACTTTCCTCAACTGACTTTGACAAGATTTAAAAGCAGCTCTGGGTTGTGAAGGTTCAGAAAGTATAAATGTTTCTGTAGTGTCAAAAGGATTTTACACTGGTTGTGTTAAATAGCTGGATGTGAATATATTTAATTACATGACAAACAATTATATTAATAATCTAATATAGATTAAATATATTCTCTTTTTATAATCTACATAAAAAGGACATTTTTTCATACAGCTGAATTGTGAATTTTTGGTTGGTTGGTTGGTCAAGTTTGCATTTGTACTACTGAGCTTGGACATTTCAACCATTTTATCCACTTAAGCACTTTTAGCTAACTGTTTTTGCTGTTTATCCATGATCTTTTATCTATTAGCTGTTTCAATCGATTACATTTAGTTAACTCTTTCAACCATTTATCTTATACTTTAAGTTAATTATTTTAACTGTTTATCCATTATTTAGCTAACATTTTACATGTTTATCCATTACTGTACTTTTAGCTAACTATTTTTACTATTTATTCATTGCTTATAGGTAACATTTAATTACTAACATACATTTCAACAAACCTTTTCAGTTGTTTCCAATACTTTTTGCTAACATTTTCAACCATTTAGCAGTTTCTTTTGGCTAATTATTTTTGACTGTAATTTAAACTGTTTATCCTATAATTTTGGTAAACAATATAAACAATTTAGTCATTACTTTTTAAATTATTTTTCATGCAGTAATTTGTGGTGTGAATGTGTTACAACTGACTAATGTTGATGCGAGCTACTGTATGTGCATGTCCATGTACTAAAGATCAGCATCACACTGATTTTACATAAACAGGACAAAGTGTATAATGCACATGATATTGCTGTGTTTACAGATTGAACCTTTCGAAACAGAGAGCAGCCTCACCCTGTCAGGCCTGTCTCCTGTTGATAATGGCAGGGTGATCATATGCAGCGCTGAGAACATGGTCGGTCAGACGGAGGCCACTCTTCAACTCAATATTCTCTGTAAGGCCTGTTGCTTTTCTGTTATCATTGACTGTAAATGTTGACCAACTTTAGCATACATCTTTAGAAAATATATTTACATTTATACATTTGTCTACTTTCCTCTCAGATGATCTTTTAAATGCCTTCCACCAGACTGTGTTTTTTTCCAGTGTAAGCAGAAGGCTCCTCAATTTGTTATCATTACTGTCTCTCAGCAAATCTTATTGACTCTCCGTGTTTCTTGTTCATAACTCTTCCTCCTGTGAAGCTCCTCACGCCTTGCCATACTCCTCTGCTTGTTTAGTGTGACATTTCTCCTCATTCACCTTTTCCATGTTTTCCTGATGTCAGCGTTCAAATGTTGTGTGATCCGTCTCTGTTCCGTTCCCCAAACCTTTCATCCCAAACTGCATCTCCTCTCTAAGCCCATGAATGTTGCTTTTCCTACTGGCTTTTCCTCCTGGTGTTTATTTCCTATCATCCCGTGATTACTCTTCCTCTATTGTTGCCTCCGTGTCAGTTGCCCCCACCATCCAGCAGCTGCTGGGACCAGAGCAGAACCACCACTGGTGTATCCCCTTCAGCGTGACAGGAAACCCCAAGCCTGAGCTGCAGTGGTACCACGAGAACGTGCCTCTCCAGGAGCAGGACTACATCCGCACCATGATCCACGTGTCCACCGAGAGCGAAGATCACGGCTGCCTGCAGCTGGTCAACCCCACACACATTCACAATGGTGTGTACAGGCTAGTGGCAAAGAATGAGTACGGCCGGGACGAGAAGAAGGTCTCTGCCCAGTTCATCGACCCACCTGAGACAGGTGTGAATACGCTCTCTTTTTACAGGGGTTCATTTAGTAAGACGTCAGCTCATTTGTGAAGCTAGTTTCTGTTTATGAAGTTGACCACTAATACGGATTTGTTTTCTTTTTAGCAGAAGACCCCTTCTACTACTGTAAGTAATGAATCAGCTTTATAAAACCAATAATGGTTATAGTTAATAGCTTGACATTATTTGTATACAAAGTTCAAATTAACTCTGATGTGCATCTATTCCTCCTCCTATGGCCTGTGCCTGCATCTCTCTTCTGCACAGACACTACTGGTAGGTCTTTGAACTATTACAGGGCTCAAGTTTAAACACAGTCATCATTACAAAATCAGCTGTATGCTCGTAGTAATTGTGATCATTTTCAAATGCTCAGACAAGCGTTTTTCTGTGTTTTTTTCAGACTCGCCTCTCCCTCCGCTGGACGACAGTGTTGCAGTAAGTGATCAGTCCTTACCATCTAAAGCAGTGGTTCCCAACCCTTTGGTGTGTGAGACACACAAATGAAAAACAAATGTTTTTCCCCCCCCCCCCAGACGTGTTTTCACCGAGCACTTTGATAGGAACACCATTAGCTGGTGTAGAGCCGCCCTCTGCTCTCAGAAACAGCCTCGGTTCTTCGTGGCGTGGAAGATGTTGGAAACATTGCTTAGAGATTCTGCTCCATGTCGACATGATTGTATCACATCATTTCTGCAGATTTGTCAATCTCCCGTTTTACCACGTCCCAAAAGTGTTCTACTGGATTTAGATCTGGCCATTGAGGTGAACTGAACTCACTGTCATGTTCATGAAACCAATTTGAGACAACTTTTACTTTGTGACATGATGTGGCGTCATGCTGGAAGTAACCATTACAGGATGGTAAATTGCGGCCATAAAGGTTGCACATCGAAAACATTCCCCACACCATTGCACCATCAGCAGCAGCCTGGACTGTTGACACCAGGCAGGTTGGGTCCATGGATTCATGCTGTTGACGCCAGATTATAACTCTGCCATCTATGTGCCTCAGCTGAAATCGAGATGTTTTTCCCAGTCTTCAACTGCCCAGTTGTGATGAGCGTGTGCCCACTGCAGCCTCAGATTTCTGTTCTTGCTGACAGGAGTGAAACCTGATGTGGATTTATGCTGTTGCAGTCCATCCACCTCACAACACCACCACCACTTTTCTGCTCACCACAGTTGTAAAAAGTGGTTATCTGAGTTACCGTCGCCTTTGTGTGAGCTTACTCCAGCCATTTTCCTCTGACCTCTCTCATTAACAGGGCGTTTCAGTCCACAGAGCTGCTGCTCACTAGATGGTTTTCGCACCATTCTGAGTGAAAACTCTAGAGACTGTCGTGCATGAAAATCCCAGGAGATCAGCAGTTTCAGAAACTCTCAATCCAGCCTGTCTGGCACCAACAATCACGCCACAGTCAAAGTCACCGAGATCACATTTTTTCCCCCATTCTGATGTTTGATGTGAACATTAACTGAAGCCCCTGACCTATCTGCATGATTTCATGCATTGAACTGCTGCCACATGATTGGCGGATTGATTAATTGCATCAATTATCAGGTGAACAGGTGTTCCTAATTAACTGTTTGGTGAGTTTATGTTTTTTTTCTTTTGTTCACTAGTTGGGAACCACTGATCTAAAGGATTCAAGACGTTCTTGTTGAAAGCTATGTTTCAAACAATCGTTTGTTTTTTCTTTCTTCCCAGGTGTATGTAGTTGTGGGAATCGCAGGAGTTGCCCTGACCGGCTGTGTTCTAATGGTGATCATTCTGAAATACGGAAGAAACTCCAAGTTTGGTATTAAAGGTGAACAATTTTCTTAACGGAGTAATTTGGCATTATAGGGAAAACACTTATTCTTATTTCTTGCCCGGAGTTAAATGATAAGATTGATACGACACTCATATCTGCCTGTTAAATATGATTCTACAGCCAGCAGCCGGCCAGCTCAGCCTGCAGAGCTAGGCTAGCTGTTTCGTCCTGTTTCCAGTCCTTGTGGTAAGCTAAGCTAGCTAGCCTGCTGCTAGCTGTAGCTTCACATTTAGCATGAGCAAATATATTAATCAAACACTTAAAGCAACTGCATACTACTTATAAATGGTAAATGTAGGGTTAAAAGAAAGTGTTAGCATTAGCTTATTGCAGCTTCCACGGTACCAATAGAAATGACTGTAGGAATTTACAAGTCTTCCTATCTTTTTTCTCCTCCTCCTCTTCCTCTATGACCACCACCCTGTACTTCTTCTCCACTCCTCCCTCCCTGCCTTTTCCTCACTCCTCACTCTCCTCCTCCTATTACCTCTCCACATCCTCCTCCTCCTCTGTGGCTCCCTAGGCTCCTCCTCAGTCATCAGTAATGACGATGACTCTGCCAGCCCTCTTCATCACGTCTCCAATGGCAACAACACCCCGTCGTCCTCGGAGATGGGTCCAGACGCAGTGATCATTGGGATGACAAAGATTCCTGTCATTGAGAACCCACAGTACTTCCGTAACTCCGGCAGCATGCTGAAATCTGACACGTGTGAGTTACCGCCTCGCTCGACAAATGCCTGGTAACCCGGACCTTTTCTGATAAATCCATGCAGGGATCACTGTTGGACGCCAGATTTATTGTCAGCATCCTGCTGCATTGTGATAGTGACTCCTGCTCTGCGGGGGCAATAGGACAGTTAACCTACAGATAATGTTCAGAAACACAAGCTTGTTTACAAAAGGCTCAATGCAGCAGAGAGAACCTGAATGTTCTTCTTTTTGATTGACTGAAAAATAATCAAACTGTGATAAAAATTACAGATGATTGTTTTTCAGTCAAACAAAAAGAAAAACATTCAGGTTCATTCACTTATAAAGTAAAGATACAAACATTTGCTGGTTCTATTCTTTTCATGTGTGAGATTTACACTTAATATATGTTTGTTTTAGATTGTTCCATCAGAAAAAACAAACATACAGCATAGTGTATACAGTCTGATTAAATGATTAATAAAAAAAATCAATAATTAAAATCAAATTTGACTAAAGCTGCTATATTCCTGACATTAAATGTAATCTCAATGCAAATAAACTTTTTTTGATAACACTCTCCCTATTTAGCATCTATAAGCAGTATACAAACATTTAATAAATAGTTTACAACACACTTTAATATAGTTGTATGCAGGTTTAAGGACATTTTAAGAGCCTATTAGTGTATATTGTTTGTTAGTTATTATAACTTCTCTGAAGAGATTATTTTTAATATTTTTACCATATCTCATCAGTTTTACTCCACTGTGTGTGTCCACATGAGGAGTTATACTTAAAACTGCTTATAAATACTAAAGAGTGGGATTTAAAATAGTAAGATGCACATATGAGCTTAAGAGTGATTTGTCTTATTCTGCATTGAAGTTGTCCAGCACATTAAGAGACACAACATCGTACTGAAGCGGGAGCTGGGAGAGGGAGCCTTTGGGAAGGTCTTTCTCGCTGAGTGCTACAACCTGACACCAGATCACGAGAAGATCCATGTGGCAGTCAAGGTACGAATCAGGAAGCTGCTCACTCAAAAAAAAAAAAAAAAAAAAAATCAATGCACTTATCATTCAGTTAGTGAATTATACTGACTCCATGTAGATAATGCTTCTCACCGTGTCTTTGTGTCTCTGCCTTTGGTCAGACTCTGAAAGAGGCCAGCGAGAGCGGCCGAGCAGACTTCTACAGAGAGGCCGAGCTCCTCACCAACCTGCAACATGAACACATTGTCACCTTCTATGGAGTGTGTGTAGAGAGTGACCCACTCATCATGGTGTTTGAATATATGAAACATGGTGACCTAAACAAGTTTCTCAGGTAGGAGGCTTCTACTGACATGTCTTAAAGGAACAGTTTGACTTATTCGCTTTTTTGTCATGAGTTAGATGAGATGATTGATACCTCTTTCATATCTGTATGATCAATGTATGATCAGAAAATAGTAAAAATGCACATTATAATTTCCCAGAACTCCAAGGTGACATCCTCAAATTACCTGTTTTATTTGACCAATAGTCCAAAACCCCAGGATATTCAGTTTCCTATCATACATGACAAAGGAAAGTGTTAAATTCTCATGAAACTGAGAAGCTGGAACCAGTGAATGTGGCGTTTGTGCTTAAAAATTACAAAAATGATTAATCCACAGTTGGAATAGTGGCAGATTGTTTTCCTGTTGACTGTGGAAGCGTACTTTTGGTAGTTTAAAATTCAGTATCCAGTGGTACGATGATTGAAGCGCTGATTAAGTGCTTCTGGGTGCAGGTCCCACGGTCCTGATGCAGTGCTAATGGCAGACGGTCAACACAGCATCCTGGTGGAGCTAACCCAGTCCCAGATGCTGCACATTGCCCAACAGATTGCTGCTGGCATGGTCTACCTGGCCTCCCAGCACTTTGTCCACAGAGACTTGGCAACCAGGAACTGCCTGGTAGGAGAAAACCTGCTGGTCAAGATAGGAGACTTTGGCATGTCCAGAGACGTTTACAGCACAGACTACTACAGAGTGAGTATTTTTGATAATTTACCCTTTTCTGTCCTCGCCCTGCCCCCAGTCTCCTACTCACGCATGCACACACGCTCACATTTCAGATATATACACAGAAATATGGAAATATACCCACATACGCACAGTCTCAAATATGTAATTAGAATTTTATTCCAGTTTTGGTCTGAAAAAGCTGTGTAGCTGCAGAAATGACAATTTTAACCAGAGGTATTTTATCTATTTTTAATACCATTTAAATGCAAATTCTATAATCTGCATAAAATTACTGTTTCCATGGTAATGAGGGCAACAGTGCAAAAATGCATGGGCAGTTTTTTCTTTTTTCTTGGGCAAAGAGTTAATGCCTTCCTCCCCTCTACATGAACAGAATCATATTACGACACTGAGGTGTTGGTATATGAGATCCACTGATGCATGTGAGAAGATTACGCTTGCTTATAAACACCTGTTGATACAATAAAGGGCTATAATCAAAAAAGATTGTCATGTTGAGGAAGAGATGGATTTTATTCCCTCATCCTTTGTGTCTCAGATTCCAGTTTGAATCCCACAGTGCCCTCTGCTGCCCAAAGTGAAGTCTAAGCACACACACAAAAAACACATCTCCAAGATACATTTCCCTGCATCAGATAAGATCAACATAAAGAGGTCACCAACTCCTGATATCACACATTTTTATCAAATAGAAAGCAAAGGCATGAACACAGCTTACAGAATGATGCTCTTCATTCACGTGAGCAGATTCTTGATAAGTATTGTTCTTTTGGAAAGGTAACAATTACGGATCAGACTACAATTATGCTGTTAGGCTATAAAACAGTCAGTGTATTTGTTTGAGCAGCTTCTCCCTGTACAGCAGTTTAATAAAGCTTTCTAACAAAGAAACAATCCAGCTGGAGAAAGAAACTGATTTGGAGAGATTGTTTTTCTGATCATATTCACGTTCAAATGGCACAATTCCATATTTGGTACATAAACCCCGACCTTCATGAAGGTTATAATGCTCAGTTTTTGTTGAAACTCTTTTGGAGAGATGTTGATTCAGCTGTATGGTCATTTTGGAGGCCGCAGTTTGAGGTGCTGTTGAATTGTGCTGCATTATATGAACAGGTGTTTCTCATATTTTGTCCAGCGCATTTATACCATTGACGGTAGATGAAATATGAGAAAAACCTCTCCGTCTAACGTCCGGCCATTATCGTGTCTAAAAATATCCAAATAAAGTACAGAAGCTTAACACTCACTCTTCAGCAGGCCTTGTGGTGTTGGTTTCTGAAGGGGACTGCTCTCTCTCTCTCTCTCTCTCTCTCTCTCTCTGCGTGTGGGCGGTCATACGATGCTGCCGATCCGCTGGATGCCCCCAGAGAGCATTATGTACCGGCGATTCACCACAGAGAGTGATGTGTGGAGCCTGGGAGTGGTGCTGTGGGAGATCTTCACCTACGGCAAGCAGCCCTGGTACCAGCTCTCCAACAATGAGGTCAGAGTCACACGAGGGCTTCACTCCATGAGATGTCTGCACTACTCTGAGTTGCATGAGTCAACACTGGCACCTGGTCAAACAGTGATTACAGAGCTCAGAGACACTTTGAATTAAACATTACTTACTATTAGCAAAAGTTTCAAGCTGGAAAATTCTTTAAAAATTGCGGGACATGACAGATGAAAACAGACTCAATAGGTGATGGAGAGTGAATAGATAGACTCCAACAATCTGACTAATAGAAACTTAAAATGGGAGAGTTGGGGTTGTGGAGGTAAAGATGATGTGTGAGGCGGGACAGGTGAATGCCGGTGTTGTAAAAACAAAAGGAAGTTAAGGCACTTAAACACTTAAAAATCACACGCACATGCTACACCTATTTTTCGATGTGTGACTTACACTTCCAGAAGACATCATCATATCATTGTCTCAAATGTCCATTGTGCCCATAAATCCACTAGGATATAATTAAACATTAAAATGTTTCTCCTTGTAACACCAGAACTTGCCTGAGAATCATCAGGTTTTAAAGTTTTCTTGAGTATCAAAGTAATCCGCTGATAGCTGTCTGTGCAACCACGGCGATGCTGCTAACAGTAACTGCTAAAAGCAGATTCAGCAAACTTTTAACTTCTGTAAGGGGCCTTTTAAAAGTAACTTTTCTATTTGGTTTGAAACTCACTTGTCATGTTTGGTCCTACTGAGCTGTGGAAAAGCTGTGTCAGGTCTGAGAAAACAATAATGTCCAGTTGCATTATGGGAAATGTAGTATCAAGTGTGTTTGGATCCTGACCAATACTAGGGACTAAAAGTCGGGACATCGTGATCTCTGGTGCTGAGATTCTTATCAAATCCCCAAACTTTAATAAAAAAGCAATACTAAATGACTTTAATATTTCTGTACATTTTTTAAATTGTGTTTTTTATAATAGAAATTAAAAGGTAATTGAGAATTGATTCAAATATCACAACATTTTTAAAATAGACTTTTTTCTTATTCTTCTTTTAGATATGTTTACCTGATAATTACTATTTAAGAAATAGTTTCCTTAATTTGATCTCTATTTTCTTCTGTTTATTTCTTTTTTTTAAATAATTTTGGGAGGCATTTTCTTCCCTTTATTAGATAGTGACAGGAAAGAAATGACAGGAAATGAGAGAAGAGGGAGACGGAGAATGAAGTGCAACACAGGTCTCTGGCTAGATGTGAAACAGGGATAATGTTGTTTATGGTTGGTGCTTAAACCCCAAGACCACCAGGGCACCACTTGTTTTGATTTACTTCGACAAAAATGAGCTTTCGTCTGAATAAAAGTGAACAAAAGTGCAGCCAACTTTGCAGAAGGGTCCCGTCATCCCAGATGATAAATGCTAAAAGCAACCACTGGAATTAAAACAAACAAAAATGTTGTCTTTGTTTTTGGTTGATATCCCTCACCCCATCAGATGTCACATTTCATTGGTAATATTTGTGGGACACATTCACTTCAGTCAAACAGTGACAGTGTATTGTCATCCTGTATCCTGCAGGTGATTGAGTGCATCACCCAGGGCCGTGTGCTGCAGCGACCCCGCACCTGCCCTAAAGAGGTGTATGATCTGATGCTGGGGTGCTGGCAGAGGGAGCCCTACATGAGGCTGAACATCAAGGAGATCCACAGCATGCTCCAGAGCCTCGCCAAGGCCTCACCTGTGTACCTGGACATACTGGGCTGATGCACCGGTGTTTGTGTATGTACTTTGTGTGCGTGTGTGTGTGTGTGTGTGTGTGTGTGTGTGTGTGAGAGGTGGGGCTTCATAAGTGTTTGTGTGTTTGTCTGTCTGACGTGATGTGACAGAGAGGAGGAGGAAATGAAGGGTGTGTGTGTGAGTGTGTCTGTGTACAGTACCTGGCTGTAAATGTTACTGTAAATGCTATCGTCCGCGTCCTCATTACATCGAGAAAAAGCCTTAAATTTCGAGTGATTTTCTTTTTTTGCTTTTTCTGTTCTTATCCATTCGCAGACGTTACTGAGGCATGTTTCACAAGTGGAAACCAAAATGCATACAGGATTATGTCACTTTATCCAAATCATAAATGTAAAAGGCATCAAAATAAATGAAACCCGATAATCAGACCCACTGATTACTGGGTGATTCTGCTACATCCATACAGTATGTGCTGCGAATGAACAAAGGGAAAATAACGTGTCTCTCCGTAACGGACCGTGTTCGGACTCAACTTCATTGTAGATAGAGCTTTCTCTTCTTTCCACAATGTCACACAGAGCAACATATTCTGCCAGAAGATGAAATTATTCATTAAGTTACAGCTGAAGCTTTTTCTTTAATATGTCCAAAACCTATTTTCATATTTGTAGAATTTATAAATGTTGACTCATATCGAGCTGTTTGATTTAAATCTGTGCTTTTTGAGTCACGTTCGGAAAATTTTAAACATATGTTTAAAGTTTGTGTGAAACCCATATAGATTCTCATAGATGCCTGGTATATGTGACCGAGTCCACTGAAGGACTTCACAATGTAAAACCAGTGTTGAGGTTGTAAAACACAAGGGCATACAGCAGTTTACATTCTTTTTTTTTCTTTTTTAATAATGCCATAATCATTTGTCATATTTTCTGTATATATCTGTTCATATTTCACACTAATTACACAAGGTCATCTATATTTACAAAGTGGTGTTTTAAACGTTGTGCTCCGCTCAGTTCGCAGCCTTTTCGTTTGATGTATCTAAAGCACAGAGTGAGGACTTGGCGGCGGTGTTGAGCTGTGCCTATCCAGGAGAAAAAAAGAAAAAAGAGGAGCACAGGTTGCTTTTGTTTTTGTTTTTCATTCACCAGCAATGCCATTTAGCAAACCGTTGTTGTTCGGTGGCCCATATCTGTAAGTGATGTGGTTTTGTATGCATCCTCAAAGGCGGGTTTTCAAATGTTGTGGGTGTTGCTGATGAGATTGTGTTTACGGTTTGGCGAGAGAAGATGAGCTTATGGAGTGTCATCTTCGTTTGTTGTTTTTTTTTGTGTGTGTAATTTCTAAGAGGGATTGACGACGCATTTCGATGCAGTTTACTGTGTGCATTGATGTAGGTTAACTACGCTGAGGATTTCTTTGTTTTCACCACTTTGGTTCTGTATGTATTGAAGTCGCTACCAGTTTATTTGTTATTTATTTCCATTACAGAGAGTACTTTGAAGATCTAATCTTTAATTCCACATAGTGGGCTAAGAGACAGCAGTAAAAGGATTAATTAAGAGTCTGATTGCCCTTAAAGTGTCCCAGGGGTGCTTTCATCTCTCTGAGCGGCCCCAGTCAGCCGGGTGGTGACTGATACAGCTCCTCACCCCGTGCAGCTGTGAAGCACACTTGTAGGCAGAGGACCTTAACGCTTGAAACTAGTTTGAAAATGCATCATTTTTTCAAATTATCTTCAATAGTTCTGTTTTCCTGAGATATTATATTAAAAAAGGCTAAAATATTAAAACAAGTGTGGTGGTTCAAAGTGTCTAACTCCTGCATTAATCTTTGCAACAACAGCAGCATTCACTCCCTCATAACGACCGTCATGTATTTCCATACGGAGGCATGAAGCAGTAAGGCTCTTTGCTGAGACAATACGTTTTGTTAAGTGCACTTTGTAGCGTTACTTAACCCCTAAATGCACAACCTGAGCAGCTGTGCTCAGCACTGACCACTCTCCACCTCGACCTCAGCTGCTCTTACTAACAAAAAGAAAAGAAGAACATTTCACCCTTGCTGTGCTGGCCATGACTGAAGCAAGTAACTCTGACATATTGTCCTCAATGAAAACAAGATTTTCCTGTCCCTCTATGTTTTTATTACAGCGTTTGTCAGTTCTGTATAATAGTCACGTGTCTGCTGTACATAAATTGCTGTCCATTCTGTACAGTTCTGATATTTGTCTATATGAATAGTAGGCTATGTTTAATAGTATAATCTGTTTTAAGCAGGTATCATGTCAAAAACTGTGTGACATCTATTGAAGACAACGTGTTATGGGCCACTGGCAATACATACTATATGTAAATACAATTTTATTTGTGCTACATTGTATAATTTCTTTGTGCTCGTTCATAATACCAGTGAGAATACAATCCTTTTTTGGCAACTTTTGATCTGCAGAGGACTTTCTTTGAACAATGTGTTTTTCTCTGAAGAAGAAGAACAAAAAAGAAAAAAAAAAATAGAAGAAAAAGAAAAATGATCTCCTCTTTCCTCTCCACTGTGATGGGGAGCTTACACAGAGGCTGTTTGAGATTGTGTCTGTCTGTAGGAGGACCATAGACTCTGGATCTGATTCAACATCAGGATCTCTCCTAGCTGACAGGCGTCCAAGCAGACGTGTGGCCGATGGTGAGGAGGTCAAAGGTCGCCTCCTGGCCAACCCCACCACTCAACCTCTGACTGACTGTAGCCTATTTTGATCCTCTTTCAGATGAATAACTGTGACTTTGCATCATGAATAGTATATTATTTTGAATGTAATCTAGAAGGGTCGGGACCTTTTTTGAATGTAATCTATCCTGGGGGGGCGGGGGAGGATTAATGATTTTTTTTTGTAAATATATGGTAAAAGAAAAAAAGATTACAGTTTTCATTCCTGTGCAGATAACAAATTTTACTTACTATGTGAATACAAAGAGAGTGTTTATGTGTGTGACTGATGTCTCTGAGGTGATGTGTGTGCATTTGCACGTGCATCCGTATGCAAGAGTGTGTGTGTTTGTGAGCGTGTGTGTGTGTGTGTGTGTGTGAGCGCGTGTGTGTGGTCGCTCTTCTGGCAGATTTAATCCTGCTTTAATCAGCCAGTTCTATCAATCAATTCAATGCTTTGTGCATCATGTGAGTAGCTTATCCACAATTAATGGAAATGTTCCTTGTGATACTGTGCATTTAATAAAGGTGGTATGTCTTACAATACGTCTTCTGCCCTCAGGATTCTTTACGTCTCCATTCGCAAAGTTTAGAAGTGCAATTTGAAGCAACTGTGGATGTACACGACTTAAAGGGATCGTTTGACATTTTGGGAAATTTGCTTATTCGCCTTGTTGCTGAGAGTTGGTTGAATATTTACATTTTATCCTACTTTTGACTTTTACTTCACCTCATTTCACAGGGAAATATTGCACTTTTTCCTCTACTATATTTATCTGACAGCTTCAGTTACTAGTAGAGGTGGGCAGATCAATCCCTCAAGTATCAACATGTAAAAGTATATTACAAAAAAAACATGAGCTGCAACAAAAAAGAAGGGATGAGGTGGAGGGGCAAATGCGGCAGCAAAACCTGTTCTGTTTTAACATGAATCATAATAATCATGACCCAAGGCTCTCCCCTACATAATAATACAAATCACTTGTATTGATGAAAAAATTGCTATCAGTATTGGTATCTGTAATACTGTAATGGTATTACCTGGTATCACCCACTCCTAGTTACTTTGCAGATTAAGATTTTATATTAAAAACATATTAAGACTATAAAACACACTGTAAACAATGTTTCTTCTTTACTGTTTGAACAGGTAAAATTATCTAATGTTTCAGAAAAGATTGGAGAAGAATAAGTACAAATTTGTGAAGCTGAACTTTATCTTGTGACTGTTTGTGACTGGTTGGGAACCACTGGGCTAAAATAACACCAACTGTATAAGGCAGTTAAAACTACCTTGACCCACTAAGTATCGATGCTAATGATTTCATATACAATAATGCATCAGTCAAAGGGGCCATTTTTCTGCAGGTTTTTCAAGTACATTCAGCTGATAATACTAATGCACATTTACAACAGATTATCTCCTGAAGTGTGATTGACATTTAAACTGTGCTTCACTGTTGCTTTTGGTGCTGGGTTACTTTAAAAAGAACCAGCAGCACAACATGTGTCATGGAAGGTATCCCACAGACACCATTTGTTTCTAACAATAACTACTGAGGAGTGACAAGGACAGCTGCCCGAAAGAACCTCACACACAAACACACACACAAGGACAAACGTGGCACAAGCTATTTAACTGTTCTCAGGACAGTATATTATTTTCTATGTATATAAAATTTTTTATGGTGTTATTTTTCTTAGCTGACGCTCAAGAATAAGTTCACATACAGAAAGCTACATGGTATACTGTATGACGTACCTTGGTGTATTGCAATGCTAGCTGTGAGGGGCTCCACTGTGCAGGCCGTCCATAGGTGAGGACAGACTGGTGGGACAGTTGCTGGGTCCATCCATCAAGGGCGTCTTCTTCAATGGATGTATCTCATGTGTTATTGAGGGGCCTGGCTGTCCTGTGAGGGACACCTCAGTGTGTCTGCTGCAGGGAGAATAAACATGAGAACGCCCCTTTTGTTTCTTATTCATTAACATCACTCAGTTATGTCACGTTGTCACTGAATACTAATCAACTGATCAATACATTTTGATTTTGCTTATCCGCTTTTGATCATATCAACTGGGGCATGTGTACTAACTTAGTGTGTACTTTCATATTATATTTTTACGTGCTGTATGTTATGTCTTGTGATTTTCAAGGCATTTTAGTTTAATCCCCCTCCCCATTTAGCATTTATAAGCACTATGTAAACATATAATAGTTTATAACACACTTTATATGCACATATAAGGACATTTGCAAATGTTTATTAATGTACAGTATTTGCCTTTATATTTAATTATGGGTGTCCATATAGTTGGTGACAAAGACATTACTGTACATTTATGTCTGCTTACAATCACATTATAGTGTGTTATAAACTATTTATTCAATGTTTATATAGTGTTTAAAAGACTAAATTAAAGTGATGCTGAAGAGATGTACACAAACATTTGTGGAATCACAACAATATCACAAAGTGCAGAAGGTGTGACGGTCTCTTGGTTTCATCAAAAGCTGTGCACAGTTTATATTTATTGTATTCTAAATTTACATTTAAAAAAAAAAGTCTGCCCATGTCTTAGAACCATTATGAAAGTTAACGCACAAATTCAATATACATCTCATTGTATTTTACATAGAGGGTAAAAGTATAGGCATGAAGGTGGCATGATTCATATCAAGGCTCAAGAGTCAGAAAACAAACATGAATAAATAGAAAGTGCTAACCCTAGCAGAAAAAATACGAATGATTTCTCTTTAAAAAAAACTGCAGTGTGGAAAGTCTCGAGCTCCTATTACCCAACAAAGAAATTCATACAAACCATTGAGAGCATGTGGTCTGACACTGTGCATGAGCAGAGTGAGTGCCAGTAAACTGTGTGAGGGAAAGATGGATAGAGTTGGGCATCTGTACTTATCTATAAATTATAAAGTATACTGTGCCTAAACAGCTTATCACTAAATATTAACATCTAGGAAAATTTCAGAGGCAAGGTCTGTTTTCATCTGATGCATGTAGTCGTCGCTCTGCAGCCACCGATATATTCAGACAGTCGTCACAGAGAAAAGGCAATCTGGAGCTGAGAGACACACACATTGCAGCATTTCTTCAGAAGCTACTGTAGAACCCAAAGGTTTTCTCTTCATTATATATACTCACTCAAAGAAAACCCAACAACATATATTGTTAGAGTCAATTTTTGCATGTCAGTTTTGTAAACTACTCAATTTTCAATACTTAACCTTGTTTGAAATAACCATTTAAAAACAGTTGAAAGCTTTGGGATATTTAAAACAAAAAAGTTTCAATGACTAGGTCATTAAAAGTCATGCACGCTGCAAATAACTGCATGCAGTAGTTATGGTAACCCATCCAAGCACTTTTTATTTATTAATAGTCATAAACACACACAGCAGCTTCATCAGAGGAGCCTATGCTCTCTTGACTTTTGAATGTGGAGTATTTATACGAAGAGCCGTTTGCATGTCACAGGAAGCAAAGGTCTGCCACAGCTGCCTGTAACATTTACCTGATAAAGAAAAGAAAAGTTATGTGGATTGATTATCAACTTCATATATATTTTATATATATATTTATATATTTCTCTTCTCTCGCTCGCTCACTCAATTGCTATTGCGCACTCGTACATTTATCCCACTTGCTCTCATTTATTTTTGTTTACAATGTAACAAAAATGGTGACAGGCCCGAAATTACAATCACCAAAAAACAAACTCAGAAAATAGAGGGAGAAAGGAGGGTGAGGCCAGGGAGGACTGCTGCTGTTTGCTGCCCATCACTGACAGTTGCAGCAGAGAGGACACAGTCTGCTTGATGCTCGGACATCAAAGAGGAGGCGGCGGAGGCTCCTTCCCTGTGGAGCTGCTCTCTCTAAGCTGGAGGTTTTCCAACGCCACATCTAAAGGCATGATATCCACACAGCCCATGGCACCGAAGTCGGCGAAGTCTCGGCGCTCGTCCTCGTCAGAAGAGGAGCTCTCCTCGTGCATCAGCGTGGACAACAGCAGCTCCTGGACGAACAGGCTGCGGTCTGCACGCTCTCCTTCTAGAAACTGCCGCTCTGCTTCGGACATCTTAGGTTCATTCAACCTGAAGAAATGGTTAACATTAATTTTAGAAGATATAAAAAGCTATAAAGCAATGTTTTTACAAATGGGTCCCTCAATTAAGGTTTGTTTCTATGGCGACTGAAATTGACTTGGGGATTTAAGAGTAGGTAGGAGTCTCTGATCACTTTGATAGATATAAATGTAAAATGTCTTCACCTAAATCTGCACGAGTCATTCATGACAGCGTTTACAATTTACCATTTTAATTACACAAGTCAGTCGGTGGTTATAAGAACTACAAATGTCTTCCAAGCTCTCATACTGCCTTTAGCTTCTTGGCCTTCTGTAACTTTAGAGACTAATTGCTTTACAACAGAAACCCTTCATTACATTGTATTTTGCACATGTAAAGTATAAAGTCTGGTGATATATTAACTGATCCTCCTGATCAGTAGTGTCGATGTAGCCACTGTCGTCCAAAAACACACCAGTTAGCATGTTCATTACTTCATTACATGGGGACTGTAGTTCATTTTGGATCAATCCAGCAAATACTGTACAATTGTACTAAATCAGTAGCTGAAAACAGCCCCAAATAAATGCTCTACTTTCTGTCTGAGTAATTTGCTACATATTACAGTGGCCAGATGTTTTAGGAAATTATTTAGCCTTAAAAAAAATGTAAGTATAAAATTCATAAAAAATGTAAGTGTATATCCGTGACCTGTTTTTAAGTAGGAACCATTGGGTTTGGGGCTGAGTGCCACAGACAAGGTGGGGAATGGGCAAAGTATTGAAAAATGGAATAACACATTGTTGATTCTGGTCTTTTAGCGGGGAGCTATTATCATACATATTAAAACTCTACCATATGAACATCCGCTACTATAAACCTGGATGCCAAGGTGCAGACAGAATTAACCATCAAAAGAACATTTACTCAAATTGAGTTTTCTTTGACACCATATTAACTCATATAAACAATGCAATGAACTATGAAACCAATGACTGGCCACACTCACCGTGCTAATAGGAACTGGGAGCTGTGGGACGAGGACGAGGGATTGCTTTCACCCACAGTGGCAGTGTTGGCAGTTGCTGTGCTGGGTGGAGGGATGGTGGTGCCAGTGTTGCCCGGGTTGTTGCTGCGCCGTGTCGCGTGGCGTCCCGTCTCCACTTGCTGTCGTGCTGCCTGAGCCTGCTGCCGCTCTAACTGCAGTTGCATCTGGAGCTGCTGGAGCTGGGAGGCTGAAGGACCTGACGAGTTTATTTGCCCCCCTGCCGCACGCCGCACACCTGACAGCTGAGACAACAACTCTGCAGGAGACACAACAAAAACAGGCGTCACCGCTAGCTGTTTCTAAATAAGTCATGATTTCAAAAGAAGAAGATGTGAGGGACGGTGATGAAAAGAGGAATACAGAAATTTCTTTAGATATGATAGTACAACATGGCCAATATGACTAAACAAAAAACTGGTATTCAATGTGCTTTCAGTCTCACTCAAAATCTCGAGGAGAAATTCTGGCATGTTAGCAACACATATATCATCTACACAAAGAAAAGGTTTCACCAATTTTGGATACATATTCACCCGAAGTCTAAAATGTGATGGTAAAGTATTACATACTCGGTATACATGGTCGTTTTTTTTTTATACCAGCAGAGCGTCCTAGTGGAGGATCTAACTCTTGTTGTCTGGTTCCGATAGATCATTTTGAACCACCTATGCAAAGAGTATAATTATGTGAAGAGAATATTAGTAAACCACTCATTCTCACCTGCAATTGGGTCCATTGCTTCTCTGTTACTGGGGGTGTAAGTGGAGCTCTGTGATGAGGAGGATGAAAGTCCTCCTGTGGAGCCGCTAGTAAAGTGCATATTTGTGCGTCGTGCTCTGGGACCGCCCAGTCCTCGTCCAGGGTGGAACATCCTGCGTACATGTCGAACACTGCTGGACTCATCATAAACATGGACTGTTAAGGGTAAATGCATTAATGTGACACTGTATATGGTGATATTTTTGGGATTTTATTTGAACTATATATGTAAACACATCTTTATGTAGACACAAGTGTGTGGCGACACAGAAAGGATATTAAATCTCTTGGTGCTCTGTGTTCGAGTGTGAGGTGAGCTGTGAAGTCATCTGTGACGTGGTTGGGGTCCCCTCCTGGCAAGGCAGCACATATTGGACAGATCTGAAATAAGAGAGAGGAAGAAGTTTCTGTTTGAGATGCTCTTTCCCTGAGCAAAATGTTGTTGTTTCCATCATTCCACAACGAAACAATATTTACGTACGACGCAATATTGTCAGTTTTATTCAGAGTCAAATTTTACCTTGTTACATTGTTATTACGTTGGATCTTAACCAGTCTGAAACAGCTATTTTACGTACTAAAGATTTAGACTAGAGAGGACTGTTAATACCCAACAAAGGCAGTTAAAAGAGTACTGCTCCAATTTAGCTCCAAATGGATCAAAATTGATGGAGCAAAACCAGAGATATTGTCTTTTTTATTCCATATTCTTCTTCCTTGTCAAAACCTGGCTCCTACATAACCCAAAATACAACTCGACTGCCAACAGCTAGGTCAGAGATTTGGGTGTAATATAATAGTAGCCTCAATAGGATGAGGAGCAGGCTACAGGGGTCTGGTAAGTGCACTTCTTAATATCACTGTAGTATCATTTGACTGATGATAACCTCAAAAGTTTGAGATCATACAAATAAAATCCCACCAAAGGTTAACCAAACAAAAACAAACCAGCGCTGCAATGATCAAGTGACAAATGACAGAAACTTAATCAGCAACAATTTTGATAATTTTTCAAACAAAACTTTGAATGCCAAAACTGAATACTTCTGTGTTCTGGTCTGTTGGTCAAATAAAACAGGCAATCTGACTAAGTCCCTGTGCACTGTGGGAAAATAATGTGGATTTTTAACTATTTTCTGACATCCTGCAGACAAAACTAAATTAAGAAAATAATCAGCAGATTAATCGATAATGAAAACAATACTTAATTGCATCCCTCAATAAAGCACACTGTAAAGAAAAAAAGTGTAAATGCAGCACCACTGTGCATTGAACTGCAAAAAACCTGTTCCAACATGTGTCAGGGATCTGCACACATCAAACTTTATTCAAACTGAAAATTTCAAAGCAAATGAGTCCATTAAGGCAATTACTACGTACTTCATTCTCTTGTTCACCAAGCCTGTATCACAGCACATAAACACCAGTATCTACAGTGCATCAAATTCACAATGCAACACCCCAGAAAATGACAACCTATACCTTAGCTGCCTTATACAAACACAGCAACAGGTAATAAAAACACTTCCTCTTTGACTACTGTCTTGTTTCTGTTGGCAATATAGCCCACAAAAAGACCAAAACCAATAGTCAATTCATCCTGTAGCCAAAGCCTGATTCAATTTATTCCACGCATTGTTGTGCAAAACTATTAAAAACACATTAATTAGCCACTCTGTTGCACTAGATGACATGTTCCAGAATTACATGGGTGCTGTAGTTTCTTTTGACTCAATCCCACATACACCATCCTGCTACTGTAAATATAAATGTGTATTCACCCACATCTGAAAATAGTCCACAGTAGTAGTTTGAATAATGTTTGATAAAAACCTACATCGCCCAGCTGATTTAGAAAATTGCTTAGCTGTTTCATAAAGTGAAACTATATGTGTAAGCAGTTTTCTTTAAAGATTTACATCCTTAGTAGGAATGAGAGTGTTAGCATTGAGAGATGAACTGGGACAGTGTTAGTTTTGGTCTTTTCATGGGATTTGCTGACACTCTCTCTGCTGTGGCATCAGTAACAGAGTCCAATAAAAACAAAAACAATCCACAGAGGAAGTCTCTGCAGTGTAGTGACTTAGTTTCATGTGGCACTGGTGAGCAACTGGAGCCCAAATATTACTAGTTGGCTCTACCTATGGTCAAGGGTCTCTTTTTTAACCATCAGTAGTTGTCCAAGAGACTACCTGCTGGCCTCAGCACTGTCAGCAGCAGCCTCACCCTTTGCCTTGCTTTGCTCATTGTACTCAGCAGAGGACACAATCATATAAACCATTCTCTGACAACAAGTAATCTATAAATGCCCTCTACGTGTACTCTGATAAGTCATTTTAGCTGACTGAAGTGCACTGCTAAACGGCAATAGCACACTGATCTGTAGTGATCCAGGCAGACAAAGAGTTTAAAAACAAACATCACTCCATCTAATGACTCCAATATACAGTATATCAGTGGATGGCAGAAGTAAACTAGGCTGCTGGAGCTGCTCAAAGCAACAGAAACAACATTTGAAAGTATTATGAACATCACTGAGACATTATTGATGACTACTTCATAAAATTAAAATCTGTAAATGCATACCCTGGTTCCTTAATGTGTGCAGTATACTCACCACCTCTGTGGAAGTCTCTGCATGCTCTGAGGTGACATGCTCCTGTAGGGACGTCTCTGTGAAGCCCATCTTGCCACAGTAGGGACATGTGAATGACTGGGGTTGCTCTACTGAAAAAGTGTCTCCTCCATAATACAAGTCTGCAAGAAGACAGTAAACACAGCAACTGTTATTGTTTTTAAATCATTAGTTTAATGATTAACACTAATAAAGTATCACAGTGCAAAATTAGGCTCAATTTAATCATAACTGCAATCATGTTGGATGATTTGTAGTCACAAAGCAGGCTGCGACACAGGCGTGATTAATTTGTGTGTGATCAGTAAGCCGTGCAAGTTTCTTCCTGGGCTTTCAGCTAGGTCCTTACCATAGTCTACCCTGGTTAATATACACTGCATGGGGTGCTCTGTGGTGTGTCTCGTTGTTGTGGCTCCGCTCTCGTAGCACGATGCGCACAGGTCGTAGTCGTAGCAGATTAAACACTTGAACCGTCGTCCTCTAAAGTTCCCTTTTAAACATGCATCACAGCTCACACCTGTAAATAAGAGAAGAAGAATGCAAAGTCAAACATGTGGACCTGACAATAAAGTTACAAATTCCTTATAACTGCGCCTGTGAGACTGGCAGTGAGAAAGCAATCTCTATCTGTAGGCCAGTCTCACTTACATGAACATGTGTTTTGGAGTGGCACCAACCCACAAGCGCCAGCAATGAAGAACTCTGGCATTCCAGTGAACTTCACAAGTAACTCTGAGGCCTAACACAAACGTATGAAGCATGTGAAAGCTGTTTTCATTGCAGCTTTTGTTACACATTTATAGCACATTCACACATTTTCAGGTTCCATACTGCTATTTGTATTCATGTAGATATGCATGACCCCAAAAGTTGAGAGAAAAAGAAGGTAAAGTGGAGCCAACCAGAGCTCCAGACATGTCATCTACTCCTATGTACTCGATATAGTTTAATACTATTGTCATCATATCAAATATTATTGCATCTCTCTGCTTGTTCACTCTTTACAACATGATCACAGTGACAAACTTTTCAAACACTGGCTTAGTTTTCTGCAGACAGTAATTTTCTATGAGACATTATAGTTATCATTGTACACTATATTCCAACTCCTGCCTCCCTGACATTTCTTCTTTAGGGAAAACGCCTTATTTGGCAAACCCTTGATAGTACCTAAGCAAGTATTAAGGGAATTTCCTCTGACTAATTTGACCTCTTGCAACAAATAGCTTGGAAATATTAACAAAGAAAAAACTCCACAAAGGTAACATTTATTAAGCAAACCTAGACCTAAACAAACATATTATTTGGCAATATGTTGCTATCAGCTCAATATGTTGATTAAAGGCTAGGTCGCACTACAGCAGGTCTTACAGCGGTCTCACTATCAATCACCCATGTGATATAAAAACAGTGTGCCTTCCTCTGGTAAACATAAAACTCAAATACACAAGGAAACAAACACAAACTAGCCTGGCCTCTACTAACTAATCACAAGTTGCTTGATTCTCCCACTATAAACAAGTAAGTTACCCATTTGGTCCTACTAGGACTAACTAACCGTATTGTGGCCATGTTTGAATTATAGAACAGCACAGCAACTTATGAGAAGATAAAACAGGATAGCCTCCTGCTACAACTAACGTTACGTGGTTCCCGAAAAGAACCAAATTTACACTGCCATCTGGTTTGCAGTTAAACATGCCGTAACTTAACCCTGGCTGGCTAGTAGCCTGCCACCTAGCTAACTTAGTGCTTGGTTTATGGAGAGAGGCCTCAGACTTTCTGTCTTCTTCTTGATGACAGTGCATTCGCTAACAACAGCAGGTTATGTGACCGGACGGGACACTAAACATTAGAGCCACGGGCTCTCAAATTCGCACAGATGTAGGCAAAAGATGATGGTAGCTACATTAGGGTATATCATAGTGTGGGGTTATGAGCGCCAGTATAAGCAACATTAACGACTCCTTATGTTAGCATACATTAGCCTGCTTGCTAGCCCAGCTAACGTAAGGTAACGCAGCACCTAGCAACGGCTAACTGCTAAGCGCTATGTTGCCGTATCATTGTAACTGTTTGCCTCGAATTAGGAGACATGATACACATATGTACACCAAAGCTGCTGACAGCGAATATATATATGTTGGTACAAGCTTGAAAACAAGCCGCAAAAAGCGCAACAACCCCCCCCACCCCCACCCCCCCTGACTTGAATAAGCACTTAGCAAGGCTAGCAGAAGAGCTAGCTGCTCAGGTAATGTAGCTCCAACCCCCGGCGCCGTGGACCCGTTTATCAACTCACCCTCATGTCGGGACATCCTACAAGCAGCGACACAGCCCTTCCTCGGGCTCCCCAGCGCGCTCAACGGGGGGACCGATACAGTTTCTGAGATGCTAAACTGGAAAATGCTTCACCCTCGTTTCTTTTTCGAGCAAGATGGATCCTCCAGCAGCTTACAATTTGTTCTGCTTCCCCTCCCAGAGTGTCACTTATCGCTGCATGCTGCGGGTGAACACCAGGCGGCGCTCTGCTACATTACAATACACAGTGGAAGGTTGGGACTTTATTTCCCTTATTTTTGCCTCGCAGGAATCTGGCCCCCAATAATGGCAATTTGAGAATATTCTACTTAAGGCTTCTGCTGGGCAAAAATCAGTTGTTGGGGTCCCTATTGACCTTCATTAGCCCTTACACTCAGTTGTTTTATTTAAATACTTCTAGTTAAAACTAATGCAATCTAATGCAACAGTCTGGCAAATTAATCCTATCTTCATAATGGTTATAATGTCAAGTTTTAATTATTTTACAGAGGTGTTGATTCGATAGGGGGATCATTTTGGAGAATGTAGTGTGTGGTGCTATTGAGCTGTGTTGCATTATGCAGAGACGTGTTTCCTTCCTCCATGAAAGTTATATGTTTTAGTTTTTAATTAAATGGTTTTGGAGGTGATGATGTCGTTGACTGATTGACAGACAATTGACTGACAAGTTGGATAGTGTATTAATTAGGCGTATTTAAGTTTTTTTTTGTTTTTTTTTTAAAGGAATGGTGCCAGAAATCCACTTGTTCCAGCCTCTCAATATTTGCTATTTACCTGAATTTTCTATGATAGTAAACTCGATATCTTTGTATTTTTGACAGTTGGTCAGACAAAACAAGGGATTCGAATATGTTAATTTGGGCGTCATGGAATAATGATGGTAAATTTTCACTGTTTTCAATCAATTAATAATTAAAGAATATAACTGTCAAATGTACTGACAATGAAGACAATTGTTGGTTGTGGCATTAACAGTACACATGTGATGGAATAATAAGATCTCGTCTGAGGTTTCCTGTGTGTTAATTACTTGACTCACAGAAAAATGGAAGCAAAAGAATTGATGATCAAGACCTTTTTCATAAAAAGTCTTTATTTTTGTACATAAGATTCATTTCATTTCTGTGCTGATGAGGACGCATACAGTCTGACAAACCAGTGCATTACAATGAAGACTTCACAGCAGTGTAGAAGGCTGGGATGGAGCTCACAACTCTCACTTTGAGCCTTACTCTCATCTTGACTCTTTCTCAGAGCTTACCAGAGGGTAAGCTCTGAGAAACTACCTCTTTCTATGCAAGTGGACAAAGAGAGACTCATGACTCCACCCTCGTGCATAAGCCTGATGCAGCCGTACAATCTTAAAATGACCAACAGTTACACATTCTGTACATACAATTTATTACATGTGCTTCATGTTAACAGTGGAGAGTGAGTGCTGAGGAGTATTTAAATATTCAAAAGCTCTTCTTCTTGCTGTCTTCCCTCAGCTTTATTGTACAACAATGAGGAAAAAAGTCAAGAAAGAAGAAGAAACTCAGTCTCCCCAACATACAATATAATCTCTTTTAACATACTGTGTAACCGTGCAACTTCTGGAAACAAAAACGAGACAGAAAACCTGAATGAATTGTAAGGTACTTTGTACCGCATATGGGGTGACAATGAGCCTACAGTATACCAATGCTTTGTGTACATGTTGTAGCTTGTCTACATAACAAACCATTTAGCAGTGAGTCCCATTTACTTTAGGGTAACAGAGAAAACTGCTGGTGAATAGTGACACATACATGTATATTTCTATGGTGGAGGAACATTACCCTCTATTTTGCAAATTAAAAAGGTTGAACACGAAGTATGCTACAGTCGTATCTCAACTCAATCATGTTAAAGCCTCTGCATTCAAAACACAGTCATTCAACAGGCTTAAAACCAAAGTAGTGGATACAAACCCTCATCTCATGTATAGTTTCAGTACAGAATAATTATACTTTCACTTTCGCATCAAAATATAACAATATTTACATATTTGCATCAGCTTTGAAATTGTGAGAGAGGCCAGATAATTTTCCTGTACGTCAAATGTTAATGTTATCATTCATGATACTGGTAGCACCTGAGCAAAATCATGTTCTCTGACCACTGATCACACACACAAAAAAAGATAAGACTTGTGTATAACATCTCTTAATTTACACGAATTAAAGCAAACACAATTCTGTACATTTTAAAGCTTTACATTTTTGAGGACTTACTTATATTTACAGTACAATCAAAGGTTTGGATTTTGAAGGTGCAGCTCTCTGTATCCCTCAATAACCAAGGTGAAACTAATTACAAACATTTAACATAGGAGGTGGGACAAGACTTTTTGGTTGTTGAACTGGTTAACTAAGATCAAAAGTATAAAAAATAAAAGCATACAGGCTGCACCTTTGTTTAGTAAAAAGCTTGTGTTCAGGTCAGTGTCTTTAGCCAACATTTTAACATTAAGGATGAAGAATGTGCCATGTCGTATTGCTAAAACTCAACAAAAATGTCAAACAAAATGATATAAAACGCTAAAAGGTACAGTGTTTTGAAAAACTAATCAAGCAACACAAGAGTCTAAATTATCAGACAGACTGCTCCAACACATAAAAAGTTCACATATTGTCTCAGAAGCAAACAGACCTTTGGACATTGCTGCTGTAATGATATAGAAAGTAAGTGAGGCGACTTTGGATGTTCACACTGAAAAACCTGAGTGCTCTTTTCCTCTAAAGCTGGAGTGCAGCTATTGTAGCTCTGAAGGTTTTGCAAAACTGCTGTATGTAATACAGATATTTGCTACTTTGCCAAAAGGTGCATGGTAAGTGATGTCTTCCTCCTTCCTGGTTGCTCTTCTTGAACTGACTGACCTGGCTTTACTTTAGAAAGAAGATGACCAAGAACAAACAATGTTTGCAGTTACCTCTTAGCATTTGTTTTGCATGGAGACTCAGATGCTTGGAGTTTTTCATGCACACAGTGAGTGCTGAAGATGTTACACAATTAAAAGGAAGTTTCTCTTTGAGAACTCTCCGTATGTGAGACCATCTGAATTGGCCCAGTGTTGTAGCCAAGTGCTGACAGCAGCAAAGAACAAGAGTTTGGAAGTATTTGCAAACATTATTTAACCCAGACTTGCGAAGGAAACAGTGAACGGTACTTGTGTTTTCCAGGTAGCCCCTGTGTCTTAGCGCTGAGGTGTTTGTGGGTCTTGGCATCTTCTCTGTGTGTCCAACTGTCTGTGTCACTTGTGCGACCTGATGGCTCTGGAAGCAGTCGCTCACAGAGCTGCTTGCTGTCTGGATACTTCAGTCCATTATTTCGTCCTTTGTGTAGTCATTGGTTCTTCTCTTGAAGAAGCCCAGCTGGAGGAGAAACAGAAAACTCAGTTACAAAACTATTCACTGCCTGTGTTAAAGCAACAGCTTTGGCAAACTCTTGCTGAGAGTTAGTGTAGATGAGAATATCAATGCCACTCTCATATCTGTATGCAGTTAATATGAAGCTACAGAGAGGCTTAGCTTAGCATTAAGACTGGAAACAGTTGGAAACAGCTAACCTGACTTTGTCCAAAAGTTTTTAAAAAATCCACTTGCAACTATCCCCAGAGCTTTCTAATTAACATGTCAAATCTGATTTGTTTAATCTGTGAAAAACAGATGCATATAAGCGACATGTTGTGGTTTTATGGGAGTCAAGTGTATAGAACATACTACTGTATATAACTGCTGTTATGTGTGGGGCTATTTCTTGGCAGGGGGCAAAGAGAGAAGTCTCGTCATCATCTTGAGGCTCCCAGTTGACTTTTTTCCCCCTCGTCTTCTATCTTTATGCTAAGCTAAGCTAACCATGTCCTTGTTGTAGATTCATATCTATCTTACAGAAATGAGAGTGGCATGGATCTTCTCATTTGTTGGAAAAAATGCAAAAATACAAACAACCATATTTCCTACATTCTACATTGTTTTACTCTTTTTCAGGTTCGACTTGTACTTTTAGATCATTTTGTTACTCTGCCCTGCACCACCTACTTTTTATCTCAATGAACTCACTCCTAATATTTGCATAACAGCAGTGGATGGACACACACATTAATCCACATTTTCTTTTGCCAATTTTCTTGACATTCACGTAAAATTTGTGCAGGAAACTTAACTAGTGACAATTTCACACACATGGTGATTTGATATTTGAAGATTTTAAACACTGTGCAGTCTAACTCGGGAAATATTACCTTCCAAAGAGCGAAGATGACAAGTGCTAAGATCAGCAGTCCTATCAGGATGCTGATTATGATGACCCAGATAGGGATTCCTCCTAAACTCTCCTTCGAAACCTGGATCTTCACCTGAGTAGGACACGTACACATATAATAAATATACACACACATGCAAACACACACAAGTATTTCATGACAATAACAAAATACAATACTACACAAAAACTTTATGACTTACAAGTCTGGTCCTGTCATTGCTGTTTAGTTCAAACAGGTTTGTGTTCTTGATCCCCAGCGTACCATTCACCAACATGTGCACACTGGAAAACTCCCCCTGCAAGATGAATCTCCTTTAAACGTTTGCTTTCCTGTCTATCCATCCATCAGTCAGCTGGCTGTCAACCGCTCTACTTTACTCTCTGTTAGTCTATCATTTATCATCGTTCAGAGGGAGGCATGACAAGGGAAAATGAATCACTTAAAACCCACCTTAATGAATGTAGGTTTCCACACTCTGAATGTGACATTGACCTGACTGGTCTGAGCCTCAGGGAGGGTGCAGGTAAATGATGGACAGTACACATCACGGTCTGCAGAACAGGTCTGTAGAACAAACACAACAATAACACATGGTGAGACAGGAGCACACACAGAGGTGTTTCATCAAGGAGGCCAAACCAAGATCAGCCTTCACTTATGGATGTCCCCAGGAGGAGTTACAGTTGTTAACAAATACATTAATAAACCACTGATTACTTATTTATATACTACTTACAAAATGATAAATAGGGTTGTTACCCTTTCATGAAAACAGGACCAGGTTAGTCTGGAGGGATCAGTTTCCATTTACAACTCAGGTCAGAATTATTTAAACCTTCTTTATGAAATAGAATTTCCTATAAATTAGACTGAATTACTGAAATAAGTAATAAGTCTGGTTTCACTGGTCATCTGGCTTTATGAAAGGTGAACAGTCTTTGGGAAATAAACCCTACATTACTCACCAACAGGAAGACACTAAGTGTTTCTTTGTTTGGATTGGGGGTTTTAGTTCTTGGGTTAATTTGATCAGGGTTAATCAACCTCGCTGCGTCACATTTCACCTGCAGAGAAAGGAAAAGTAGATATGAAGGCGTGTCTGTCTGTTCCAATATACTTGCATCTCTACATGTGTGTGTGTGTGCATACATACCTTTGGGCTGGTGGTGACATGTGTGAGGTACAGCAAGTTGTTCCCCCGAGGAGACCGTTGAGGATACGTAACAGTAAGGTCAAGGGGTGGAGTCACCACATCGCCTGCCTCCTTCACCTGAAGAGAGGTGAGACGGAGAGGCAGAGGCAGAGTGAGACGGATAAAGAGTGACCGAACGTACCACACCTGCATGCAGCTCTATGTTCGCATTATCAAATCAGCAGTTGTGATCTCTACCGTGTAACTGACGTTGACCTCCTCTCCAATCATCCTGGTGTCATTGAACACAGTGGCATACTGTTCACCCTCTTTTACTATGATGTGTCCATCCACAGGCCGCCTACAAGATGCACATTTTAAAACGATCATATTAGATTTTTTCACTTTTCAACACACCTGTGCTGTTTCTTGCTATGACAAATCAAAATGTCCAACATGAAACATCTATAGACACCAATATTGTATCCACTTTTACAGTGCAGCGTGGCGGGAGAGCAGAACACATGACGTGTGATGAACAACTACAGCTACTCACACTGAGAATATGAGTCCAGGTTCATACTTCACAGGGACCGAGATGAGCACTGTGTTGTCATTCAGGGTAGAGGCCAGCTCTTCACTGTCACTGTGGGAAAATTAAAAAGAGATTTGCACTATTCCAATGCACATGTGTAAAATTAATTAGCAAATTCTCATTTTTGCAACAGAATCATTTAAGGTAAACAGCTTCAAACTGGAAATAAAACATACTCTACTGATTGTCTCACCTTGTAGCTGTCACATTGATCTGAATTACCTCCTTAACATGTTTGGGATTCATCTGAAATTTCACCCTCAAATTCTCCTGTGAACATTAGATCAAACCTTTGATTAGCATTAATAAAAATAAAGAATAACTCAGCAAATAAATCGGACTTTAAACAACGTAACGCAAAGTGCATTTCAGAGCAATTAAAACACAAAAACCATAAAATAATAAATGCTGGAAGAGATGAGATGTTTTGAAGTGAGTAAAACCATAAATAAAAAATAGAAGTAGAATAAACGACCAGAAATAAAAAGAAAACAATCCAGATAAATATGAGGAGATACCAGTAACACAGCCTTAAAATGTATAAATGAATAGACAAATATAAAATAAATCAAATTCAATTAAAATCCAGACTAAAAAGGTAGGTCTTGAGTTTGCTCAACTCTCTGCAGCCCATATATATTGTATAGATATTATATGTAGTCTGGTGAATGTACTGCACGCTGAAACAAACCTCCACATTGCTTCCCAGGAACGGGTATCCAACAGCACACTCCACTTTAGTGTTATTCAGATTGCATTCCTTCTCCGGCTGATAGAGCAAAATAACACACGCGTCAGCACACACATCACAGGCCATACTGTATACACATATCCGACAGACACAAGAGCACCACAAAACCTCACCTCTGCTTTAATAAAGTTGATGTTGGGTGTGAAGCTGAGGATAACTTTGGTGTTGTACGCGTTGTCTTTGCTGTTTCTAACCTTGATTTTCACATCAATCTTGTCCATCTTTGATTTGATCACCATGCTGCAGAAGTAAATGAAAACAGTCAGCATGCTCAGTTGTGATGCACATATCCCCCCACAAGGGGGCAGCCATGCACTGTAAGAGTTTGCAGCAAATAGGCCAAACCACTGTGCTGTGAGTGACACTATAATCAACTATTAGTAACTTGAATGTGAAAACTTGTATTCTTTCAATAAAACAATACAAATATGATCTCTTTACAGCCTGTATGGACAGAAGGAACAATTACAGCAACCAATAACTTCTAATGGACATATGGGCATGTTACTATTGTTTTCAGATAGACATGAAAAATGTGAACGTATCCTTTCAATTCTAATTCTTACCTTTTTACACTAGGCTCCGCTTCGAGAGAGAGGTCAGCAATGCATTTCTCATCACTCCCACAGTCCACTAAGGGAATCTACAAGTAAGAGACGTAAAAAGAAGAGAGTGAAATCTTTAAGTTACCTCCACTCAAAAATGTGTCTTGCCTGTTGTCACTTCAGTTAGGTTCACAGTCCTGTCTGCGACTGACAACTTACTCCAGCACACTTAAACTGACAGTGGACTTTTCAGTGAAACAGAAACATCTTGTGTCGAGTAGTAGTTAAACACAATGATGACTTGCTTGGTGTCACTTTAACACTGAACATGCAGGTAGCCTTATCTCCTCAGGTATAAATGGCACTGCAAAACATGTTGTTCAATATTAGTATATTTTCAGAATACGTTGGTATGTGGCAGGACATGTGTTAGTGACAGAGGCCCTGATGTGTGCCGAGTGTTATTCCATATGAAAGGTTATCTTTATAAGTCTTCAAAGAGGTCTGGAGGGGATCTTTAAAATACTGGAGTAACCATGAGCATAGTCCTCAGAAGCTGCTCTACAGAAATGAGAATCAAAACAAGCTGCTGTTGCTGTGTCTTTGTTTGTATCCCTGACTAAAAGGGTGCATTCAAATGACCTTAATTTCCTTTTCCTTTCCCTGCAGAGTGTGTGGGGGTCACAGTCGTATTTGTTCCCATTCTCAGTCACTCCCACTGGACTGTTAACATCAACAGTGTCTACTCTCACAGGAAAAGACGTATCATCTGCAGTACAATGTCAGAAGAGAAACTGCAGCTTCCATTTGATAACTTCCCTATTCTCTCTCTCTGTGTGTGTGTGTGTGTGTGTGTGTGTGTGTGTGTGTGTGTCTGTGTTTGTGTCCCATCTCTTACTTTCCATAACAATAAGAGGAGAGATAAAGCTTCCTCACGGTGTAACATTGCTGCTATGACAGATTCTGACACTGAGGGAGTCGGGATGTGTCAGGGCTTATACACAAATCACACAGGGTCCAGTGCTTAGGAATGCATGGTGTGGTGTTGCTGCTACTGTGTATTTCGCACACCCTGGCTTTACTGCTAACACTGAAGCAAAACTTTCATGTGATATTTCCCCTGTTTATCTGGACACGTCACTCATTGGAACAATTATGTGGAAACCTTTTTGTTAGAAACAAGTATGCATGTGGGAGTGTGGGAAGACTCTTTCTGGCTGTTGGTGTTGAAATACTAATGCAGACTGGAGGAAACACTGAAGGATGGCAGTCAGCTGTTGCAGATGCTAATGTACTGTAGCAGCAGTGAGCTTGGAGCCAAACAAGAACACCCCACTTCTCATACTTGGATTATAAAGATGTACAGATGGAGGATGTTTGAGACAAGGTTCAAATCCTTCCTGTATTTGACTCAAAATCTTCTGCTTACTGTTACACTTAATGGTTTTTCTTACAACTTATATAAAGTGTTCTTACTGTCTTATTGATGGATCTGGGAAGGCTCTCATCCAGGACGGGGCCTTTGTCCTCATCAGCTAGTTTAAACTCCAAAGACACCATGAGAGGGTCTCGGAAATCCAGCCAGGTCTGCCGAGGAGAAGCAACAAGGGGAAGAGAAGGAGAGAGGGAAAATAAAAGATGAAGGAGGATGAGGAAGACCTTTACTCAGGACTGTACGGGCATGTACAGACCACGCTGGACTGGCATGTAATCGGGTAGAACAACTAATTTCAACTTATTTTGTTCATGTCATATCATTCAGTCACTATTATGACCAACTTTGGTGTAAAACACATGAACACCACACTCTTGCTGTCAATCCAAATCTGAGATATCAGGAATATCTGACAGTGGTGAAATCTCCCATTTAGTGAAAAGAACTACACAAGTGTTCACACACCAGTGGCAAAATGGCTGTAAAGTTTCCATCACTGGCAGTTGCATCCATTTTTCACACTTATACAATCAATTCAGCTCATTTAAAAAGAACCTACACACAGTTTGTGTGAAAATGAAAAATCAGGGGATCAACAAAGTTGCCAGACTTTGACTTCACAAAATTTCATAATAATCCGTCCAACAGCTGGTGAGATATTTCAGACTAGACCAAAGTGGTGGATCGACCGTCAGACGTTTCCCTCTCTAGAGTGATGCTGCTAGCGTAGCTGAAGAGAGGGCTGATCAAAACCTCTGAGTGCGCACAGCCTCTTTTTATTGAAACATGAAGACACCATTTGAAAGAGCTGCTTCACATTACAGTATGGTATGCATTGTATCTGCATTGTAAGGCATAAACATGGGTCTTTCTGAGCCTGTGCCAAATGTTGATTGAACCCAGAGGGGACCCTGAGAAGGATATAACATGAGGCTGCATATTCACATTCACTCAGGCACTTTACTGACCTGAGTTCAGCTTGGTAAGTACAGATCGTGGCTGTTGCTTAAAACATTTTAAAGAGTAATCACACTGTATATAATATGTTTATCTACCACTTGCTGACTGCTGCATCGTGGCCTGCAGACAGCTGTGTTGGTTATTGATTTTTTTCCTCCATTTATCCAGCCCCAGTGAATTTCATTAAGTTCTTTTAACACATGTTTGTGCACTATCCACAGTATGTGCACTGAATACAGTGAATCAGTGCTATTGTTTCAAGAGACATACTGGAGACATCTTTAAAACAGAAGTGGACGAGGCAATGGAAGTTTTGAATGTAGCAGCTAAGAGCCAATTTATTTTTAATCTGAGGTTTTCCAACTGGTTTGGAGCTGGATACTGTGTGGTGTGGACTTAAAACAAACTGGAGCCATTGCTTTAGCACACACTGAGTATTAAACACTTTTTTGGACATGGATTAATTCATCATATCTCCTTTTGGTTTGTTGCAGTCAGATCTGTTCATGTTTGGGTCTTGGACTCAGGTGAGATAGTTTTCTGAACCTCGATGACCTCTACCCTGGACTACGTGGGAAGTATCTGCTCAGACAGAGAACAGAGCAGGTATTCATGCACAGGACACACAACTGCAGCAGCTGTTTCTACTGATTAGTTCCTCTTTCTCTCGCCTGAGGGCAGCTAATCAGAAAAAATCCATTGCTGCAGTGAATGGCTGCAGAGAGAAATTTCATACACATGGCTCTAAATGTCACATTGCTGGAGACCACAGGTTTACAGTAAGTGTGGAAGCTGCAACGTTTAAAGGTGTCAGCTGTGATGAACAGTCTGTGATGTGCTTGTTGGACCACTTGTAGAAATCTTCCCTGACCTGGAGAGTCACTTTGTCACATTCTCAAAACACCTCATTCACTCTCATTCTCTTATTCATTCTCTTTCTCTCATTTGCTCTTTCATTTTTTGCCTTTTCTCTCCCCATCTCTCCGAGTGTCTCCAGATAATTTATCACTCAGAGCAACATGAGGCTGCACTCGGCATGCTTTGATCAGGACAGGTCTGTTTCATGTTAGAACCAAGGTCCTCCTGCTCTGTATAAGACTCCTCACAGCTTTGTTCTGTCTCCTTTCTGGCTCAAAACACCGCTTACATCTCCAACGAGACTCGAATTTAACTTTCATGAATGAACGTCAAAAAAACTGAAGGTATCAAGCTGCTTTGAAAACTGTGTGTAACGCTTTGGGTTTGATTTCTTTCAGGTACGAAACAATAACTGATCCCATGTGTACATAAAGATCACAGTACTTGCCGACATCATGAGGGTCTCTTGCACACACTTTCTCTCTTTGTCTTTGATGGTGAGGTACTTGGTAATCCTACGATCATTTTTGTCATCCGAGTGAATAAATGAAGCTCTGGCTTTTGCACGCAGAGCATCCAGAGTCAAATGGTAACGGATCTCTGCAGGACAGAACAGATAAGAAACCAAAAAATGAATAACAAGGGAATCTGTTCAAGAATCATGCAGATCAGTATAGGGCGTTGTATGGCTCACCTGCAGCAGAGTTTAAGTCCTGCTTGTCAGATTTGATAGTGTAGTTGAAACACACTTCAGTTTTCACGCACACAGATTTGCGTCCATTATGTTCACACTGGTACTGAGCCTGCTGCAGGTTTATTTTAACGGGGTCAAAGGTCATGTTGGCACGGAGTTCTGCAACATCTCTGGACCTGGGGAGATGAAATAAGTTAAGTACGTGAGTGCATTTACTAAACTACTCTACATACATTTTAAAGTGCTTGTACTTTGCTTTTTTGCTTTTTCTTCCTCCACTTCACCACATTTCAGTAAAAAATAAAGATAAATGCAATATAAATTTGTGTTGCAGAACATATTTTTTCTTCTTTGCAACACCATTAACCATCTCACGACCCCTCAGATTTATCTTGTGACCCTTGTAACCACTGGAATAAACTGCAAACTGTATAAAGAGCAGTAAGGTCAGCTCCACTTTGACAATCTACAAAACACAGATGCATTATGTGAGTCTGGGGCCATTCTGCATTTCTGCATTAATGAGTAGTTTTATTTTTTGTTTTTTTGCAAGTGTGGGCGTGTGTGTGTGTGTGCGTGTGCATTCTTGAAGGAAGGAACAAGAAACGGATGCATATTGAGCATTAAACTTGGCTTCAACTCTCTCTCTCCACCCAACCGTTGAACACGGCCTGCAGTCCAGGAAGAGCAGCCGCCTGCTGCCAAATCCTATTTAAACTCTAAGCCACTTGGGAGACGGAGTTTTCACACAGCTTAGTTGAGCCAACGCCAGTAGGAACTGTGGGAGAAGGTCAGCCTGGGAAGTTAAATCATGGTGTGGGCTGATGTTTCAAAACTTTAGGGGTTGAATTCTGTAGGCTGGTCTCCAACAGTGAAGTATGTAGCCAGGGGTTTTTAACAGAGAGATCATTAGGAAGTTGTTGGTCTCAAGCCTACATGCCCAGTGGGACATGCACAGCTGTCTAAACCAGGATAAGACAATGCCAAGTGGACATGTGAGATGATGTCTCCAGGATACGAGCACTGCTGCTGGTAATAATTCAAGTAGAATGTGTAGTTTAAGAAGTGAATGTTTATATCTGAGGATGGGCCGTGTCTCACCAGAACAGTGAAGCCCCTCCCAGACCTCCTATGGTGACATCAGTGATTCCATCTCCGTTTAGATCCATGACTCCATGTATGGACTGACCAAAGAATTTCACCTTTTCACCATCTCCGCCTGCAGGGATCCGCTGCGCAGACACCAAAGCATGAAAGCATGTTAATCTAAATGAATAGTTACATTATATTCTAGCAGATCCCTGTATGGTACTGGAACTGTTCTCACCTGCACAAATTTCTCTTTCAGAGATGTCTTATCTCCATGATAGATGTAGACTGCTCCTCTGTGGTCGTTCTCAAACGGTGCACCGATTGCCACATCATTAAACCCGTCTAGGTTGAGATCTGACACTGCTGCGATGGCTGTGCCAAACCGGGCGCCACATGGTTCATTTTTGTTAGTGCAGCTGGCTGAGTGGGCGGTACAGCAGGACTGGTTGACAGGCTTCAACGTGAATTCATACTTAAACTGGCCGTCCTAGTAATGAAGAAGAACAAAAGAACAAACACCAAGGGATGAGGATAGTGGATCAGTCGGTGTATCACTACAATCTCAGTGTGACGTCGTGTAGAAACCTGACACAACACAACTGAACTTTCAAAGACACACACAACCCCATCTTCAGTCTGTTGTACCTGGCCGACTTTATAAACGTAGACCTGTCCCTGCTCGTTTCTTTCTGAGCCCATGTACATTGGAGCTCCAACCAAGAGGAGGTCTGTGTAGGAATCCCCATCCACATCCACAGTCTGCAGGACGCTGCCAAAGTAGGAACCGATCTGCACAGAGGAGTCACAGATCAACTGTCAGTCATGAACCTTTAAGCACTGAGCTTATTCAAGGACAATTTTTTATCCACATGGTTGTGACATCGATATCATTTTCTATATTTTAACCATTAAAAGCTTGTCTAGAGACTTAATAATCCTCTATGTCAAAAACCCATGGGCGCTGTAGTTGTTGAATGGTGCGTGGTGAAACTGGTGCATCTTTATTAGTAAGTATTAGTAAGTATTTTTACCTTTCCCCTGATTATATATTACATACATTATATACATAAAACACTACAATATCTATGAGAACACAACAGCAAAACCAAAAATGCAACATTTAAAAAAACACAGCTAAACAGAAAACACATCAACAAATTAGAAAACATCACATCAGAACAAAAAACACAAGATTTTATAAAGCACATTAGCAAAAAAACAACATTTTAATTTTGTGTTGTTTTCTATTGTTATAGTGTTTTGTCAAATGCTGGGACAAATAAAGTCTTATCTTACTTTACTTTGTCTTAAATATATTAGCAAGTACAACAACAGGAACCAAATTAGCTTAGAATAGGAACAGAGTATCATCTTTCAGTTTTTCATACAAACTGATGATAGACGTATTCTTTGCAAAAACACCGACACTGAGGTTAGCCCAGACGTCAAACTGAGAGAGACTCACCTGTTCTCCTGACAGTATCTGTGAGACGACAATGTTTTTCATTTCACCCAGACGATAGATAACAACCCGGCCTGTGTGGTTGTACCGTGGAGCTCCCGTTATGTAAAGCATGCCATGAGGGGTGGATGCTGACTGAACATCATAGCCTGAGGAGAATGCATACACAAGCACATACTGTATTAAAGTCAATGCATACACTACATAATCAGGCATCACTGGGAATTCGTCATACACTGATGATTATGTCATGAGGAAAACGCTCTGGCCGTCTTTGTGGGATATTTTTAGTGGCTTTGTTTTTTTCTGCCAGCTGTTTACATCTGACTGAGAGGATGAAACCACTCCTGAAAGCTGGTAGGAACTCACACTAACCTGCATGCACACACACTCACAGATCAGACAAGGACATGAAGGTTATGTATGCAAAGTCTACGGTCAGACCATTAGATATGAGCATATGCCAACAGCTGAATTTACAATACACGAGCCAGGACCTACCAGTGCTGCTTCTAATGACATGTTGATTAAATAACTTGATATTAAAATGCTGCGGTTGCTCTACGAGCCATAAAAGGCAGCAGGACAGAGAGAAGAGCCTGTGTGTATTATTTATGTGACACAAATAGAGAGGCATCTGCTGACAAAGTTAGACAAATTACAAATCTTAAACCTCCACACAACCAGAGGCTCTATTTTTATTCTGCCGCTGTACATTTTCTCTTAATCTCTTGGAATATCTCGTTTATCTGGTTCCGTTTAACACAGAAACACTTAGCTCAGATAGAAGTGTTCATGCAAGTGTAAAAAGTACAGTGTTTATTCTCTGTGTTTTATCCAGCTCACTGGTAGATGTACGTTTCCTGTTTTTTTTTTTCTTAAAGCTCCTGAAAACTTGGCTTAAACCTTAAATGTTACTAAATATAAATAACAAAAAATCCCTGACACCCTCACTCCTCTTTCTCTGTCAGATTGCTTCTTCAGCATCCCTCTGTCTCTAAAATAGAATTAAATACAACTATAATAACAATAGCTAATAACTTTAAAAACAGACCAGGACCAGTAGATAAAGATAACTAGATAAAGTGACTGTACATGCAACCAACTAAAGTGAATTTAGGATTTTTACTCTGTTGACACCTCGATGTGCAAACAAGGTCAGTTATTACTCTTTCTATTATGAATTATTATTTCATGATGGTCTAATATTTGTAAAGCTTTTCCATCGCCTAGAAAAGTGATTTCTATGTGTGTGTCATATAAGGAAAATGATGTAAAGAAGCTGACAGAAAATATATTTTTCAGGATCTTCAAAGATTTTATGAATCCACTCACCAGTGTACCCAGCCAGTCTCTCATACCCAGCTTCAGTCTTTGGGTCGTAAAACTGGTTTTTCCCTAGAACGTTTTTTTCTCCTGCAGTATGCATTATAACTGTCCCGTTCCAGTCGTACGCCCCCACTGCTCCCAGTAACACACCTTCCTTTGGGAGACAACAGAGCTGATATCAGGAACATTCAGTGGATCCCGGTACTAATATGTGGGGATTTTTTTTTCAGTTTCTTTCTTTTAATATCTTTGTAAATTGGATGAATTTTTGTTTTGCACTGTTGCTCAGAAAAAAAAAACAACAAGTGATATTTTATATACTACATGATTGACTAATTAACCAATAAAGTTGAGGAGTAAATAAATATACTGTATGTAAACAAATGAGTAAAACTGAAAGTATGGACAAAAGACAAATCAGAACATAAATATATCCATCAATCATTCTGCTATTTGTCTACAGGAAACAGAGTTATCTAACAGGAAGGGGAGGGGTCACACAGGACATAACACTGGTCATTAGTCACAATGAGCTTCACCAAGTGGTTCTTTCCCGCTACTGGCTGGTAAAGTGAGGCGTCATGTGTTCAGTGTTCTGTGGCACAACTCAGTTTGGTTGTGTCTGGTTTTGTTAGGTTGAATGAGCCACTGCAGGCACAGACACTGTGTACACAGTGATTGAGGAGGTGATAAACATGAGTCAGGAGCAGGAAGAGGCAACAGAAGGGAGCATGTTTGTTTTAAAATAGACATAGGAAATTCCTAATGAATGAAATCAAGAGGTGCGTAAAGGGCCAAAAGCAAGCATGTTGTTTTTTACAGTAGTGAACAAGCATCTGATTCAGCCTCTCCTCGTTGTCTCTCGTGTTGTACATTCATCCCTGCCTCGCACACTCTCGTGCAAACAGACAAAGCAGCACCAGTCTGATGTCTGCAGCAGTGGGAGCAAAGAGGACAGAGAACGTCTGTGTGTGGAAACTTCTACTGACTGGAGTGAATCACCAAAGGGTTGAAGATGCACCAGAGATAGCACTGTGGAATTGTGTCTGACTGAGTTCATTAGTTGAGAAAACATCCATGGCAGTGCATCCACTTACGCAAGAACATCAAATTAGTAGTTCCTTTCAAACTAAACGCCTACAGACATGTAAACTTCCTTGTGACCTAAGGAGGTGATACACACTCATCTGTCGTTCAGTCTGGTTCAGTGATTTTACATTTAGCCACTGACTTTCACATTACAAATGTGGTATTTGTGTTTTCCTCTGACATAAATAATTCCATTTAGACTTACTTTAGAACTGTGTGCACTAAATCCAGCTTGGGACATCTCCATCTCAAAGGAGGAGGTGAAATTGCCAGTGGTGGCTGAGAAAGGAAAAGTTCATTTTAAACACATAAACCACACAAGATGAGAGTATTAAAATCATGTTCTCTCTAAAGGAACAGTGCAACATTTTTGGAAAATACGCTGATCCATAACCCTTTCTTGCAGATAGCTAGACTGATACCTCTGTCATGTTCCTACAGTAACTATGATTCTAAAGCCAGCAGCCTGTTAGCTCAGCTTCCGTCTACCGGCACTTCTAATGCTCATTAATTGACACATTATACACGCATCTCATTTGTTTAATCCGCACAGACACAGAAGCTATTATTTGGGGAGTTTTGTGCAGCAGCTACTTCTTGGTAAACAGAAGTTTGCTACGATAGCTGCCTCATGGTTGTACCTTCATATCTGCCTCACAGACATTGACCTGGTGTCAGTGTTCTCATCTGCAAGAAAGCAAATACGAGTATTTTCCAAAACGTTGAACTAATTCTTTAAAGGTGGTGAGGACCAAGGGAGCTTAAGATTTTGTGAGCATGCATGTGTTTTCAGGAATACCTTCCAAGGCAAAAATCTTCTTTCCCAGAGCGTCAACAATGGTCAACAACGCCACCTCGTCAGACACGTTGAAGAAGTGATCTCTGAGCGGCTTACTGGAGATGGACTCAATCTCCTTGATAAACTTTTGCACATCTTCTGCCATTTTGTTCTGACGATTGTAGTCTCCCAAAACCTGGAAACACAATCAACTAGCTTAACAACATCAGCGCTTATAAGCATGACTGAGTCACAGAGCGAGTAACCAGATGATTCAAATGATTATGGTTAAAGAAGTTGTTCATTACACCTTCCCTTGATTTAACTGATGTGCTGTCACTTGTTAAAATAATATACTTGACTAAGTGTAACCGATTTACGGGCTTTGACTGAAATCATTCAGTATTTTCTGTCAGTAAAATGGCTTTGTAACACTATGATTTCAATAATCTGCATACTCCAGCGAGCCTTCTCAGGAATAACAAAAAAGCTTTTGCTGGATTTACTGAATAGTTGCATAACTGGCAACCCAGAATTTAACTCTTACATTAAGAAAACACAGAACAAACATGTTAATGAACAAAGGTCGATGGTACTCACTGCAATGCCAAACCTCTCGATGCCATCATCGTCACAGTCTTTGATGACTTTGTCTAGATTATGGAAGTCATGTGACTCTCCGTCAGTCACAATCACCATGACTTTCTTCACGCCGGGTCGTGCACCACGCTCAGGCATGAAGGCCTCTTTCCTGATTGGTAGAAATTTTCAAAATTCAGCTAAAACAACACAACTTAAGGAGCACCTGATGAAACTGGGCCCTTAGCATTAACATGCAATTTGTTTTAAGATAACTAAAATATTTAAGCCAAATGACAGATGATTATGTATATTAGGCAGCTCCCATAAACTTTTCTCACATATGTCGTAGTGCTCACCAATACTTTGGTGTGTAAAATATGTGGCGTTCCCATTTAAGCTCATCTTTCACTATGAGGGAGCTTCTGCTGGGTAGTTTAGGAGAATTTTGACCAATGACGTCCCAGTAATCAATGTGTTTGACCAATAGGAGGGCTTCATGTTGATGTCTAAGATAAGAAGCCTTTCTGAGTCTATTGTCCAGCCTAACAGAAATGACAACATCCCATTTCTTTCCAGAACAGTCATGACTTAATTGAAAATTTTGGCCTCAGCGTTGCCAGGCTGGCCCGGATGAGCTGGACGGGTTAATGTTGAGTACCTGGCAGTGTCAATGCCGAGGAAAGTCATGGTCTTGAAGCCGGTCTGCTGAGGAAGGTCTTTGACAAATTCCAGCAGATCACGAGTGTTGTCAAACTGGCTCAGGTTGACCCGGTGCGTCACAGTCTCACCGTAGGACACTATTCCCACCTGGAAAACGCACACAAACACAAACACACATTTTTCTTGTAAAAGTTATCCTACATTAAATTTATTTTTTCTTTTCTCTGTTTCCATGTTCTTGTCTCCTCTGCTGTCCCCTCCCAGACAGTCTGCAGAGGATGTGGTTGGGTCTGGTGGGGTTTATATGACACAATTTTCTTTATACAGCAGGCAGAGGACTTCAGCAGCGATGGAAGATGTGACTTACAACCGCTGGGCTGCACAGAGAGAAGACTTTCCAGTGTTTCCCTCTGGAAAACTCCACTAGCTCCAGGCCAGATCAGTGTAACCATAATAAAAACTAACCACCCATGTGCAGAGTGATCCAAGACAAGACGACAGAAATAAACTCAAGGTATAACTTAGTAAGACGGAGGCTAAAATTACTTTACAGACTTTAAAGTCTTCAGTTCATCAAGTCTGCGTTATGAAGGGCATCTTACACTTATTCTTACTGTTGGCACCATGTGGAAAATTCCATAATGGAGGGTACTTATGTCATTCAATATAATATAATATGAAAAACTGAGTTGGCAGCAAATAATATATTCCTTCATTCATGATTTTTCAGTCTAATGTTATATAATCCATCTATTTATCCACCTGATGTTTAACACTGCATATCCCCCTATGTTTAAGACAAAAACAGTCATTTCCAGCAGGAATTAACACTGACCTGTGAGAGTTTAGGTCCAATTTCAATGTTCCCGATGAGGCGTTGCAGGAAATCGATGATACTGCTCCAGGGGAAGATACTGTTAGATCCATCCAGAACCATCACAATGTCCAGCTCCTTCCCACAACCTGGACCAATGCCAGAAATTATAGTTGGTTAAAAGATAAGTTTTGTTTTCGATTTCTCTGTATGCAATTACAGGTGTACTGTGAGGCGAGATTGGCCTTCTGTTTACAAAACATTATATGTTTTATACGTTGTATATCTTTTCCAAATCTGGATGCTGGTCTTAATAAATGCATTAAAAACACAGATTTCACTCCTCAGAGAGAAATTTGATTATGTAGCACATTCAGACCTCTTCCTGTTCACTTGTGTCCACAGCAGGCACACTACACTACACAACACTGCACAACACAAGCTTCAAATTGAAATGTAATAACGTAGAGCAGCGGTTCTGAAATTATGTTATGTACACTTTTACTCGAATCTTTGTTTTGTTTTCTTGTGAATTATTGGATAATTCTAGGCACTGAAAGCCTTTTAAGAATTACTGAAACAAAACAACAAATAGATCTTTTAATAGTGGTCTTTGTTTAATTTCTGGCCTGCCACGTGCTCGTACTAAAAGTCTTAAATTGGTTCAGACTGCTGTGGTGAGAATTTTAACTAAATCCAGAAAATGTCACCACATTAATCTAATTTTAGCTTCCATTCACTGGCTCCCTCTCCATCTCAGATCAGACTTTAAGGTGCTTTTTAAAGGCGTACCAAATTCTAAATGGGCTTGCCCCCTCATACCTGTCTGATCCCCTTAAACTTTATATTCCAGCTCTGCCGTTCCCAGAATACAGGGCTCCTCCTTTCTGTACCCACAATTCAAAAGAAGTCAGCAGACTGCAGAGATTTTTCCCCTTCCTCTGGAACAACCTCCCTGCTGACATTTGATTCCAAACCTAAAACTCATCGTTACGTCTTGACTTTCATTTACCATCTTATTCTTTTACTATTTCAAGCTTTGTACCTGTTCCCATTCTACCACCTGGCCTCAGTCTCAATTAATCAGTTAAACCCAGTAAATACAGTACATTAATGTCTTTTTGCAGCACTATATGATCAGACTGTGGATATATGTGTTTGTTTCTGTTGAAGGAATGCCAGAGAAAGTGATACTGAAAGAATGTGAGAAACAGAAAGAGAAAATGACTGTTTACTCTGGTTCTTTCTACGTTGTTTCCTTCCTGGGAAACAGAGTGCAGGCCCAGTAAACTGTCTCCTAACTTGGGCATACAACGCAGCAGAAAGGCTGGGCCAGAGAGGGATGGGGTCGTAGACAAGTTTACATTAAGAAGAATGCTCTAATCTCTCTCTTCGTTTAGGGAGGGTGAGGAAGGTTTGATGTCAGGGTTTTGGGTGGTACCACTCTGAAGAGTAGATTATAATCTCCTATTCCCGACAGGCAATTTGTGCAGATGCTGTCATGTCCAGTTCAGATCTGCTGTGTCTTATTCTGTCAGGTTGCGTACCTTGCACGGCCGGTGCCACAGAGTTGATGATCTGGAAGGAAGAGCTGACATTTGCACAAACTCCTGTGATGTACTCCTGCTGGCCGCACATGTAGCCATACTGAGGACCACACGCCTGTGGAGACAGGACACACACACACACACACACACACACACCCACACACACACACACACACACCCACACACACACACACACACACCCACACACACACACACACACACCCACACACACACACACACACACGCACACACCAACAAACTGAGATTCTAGTTGCTAGAGACAGTAAAACTGTGTTGGGCTATTACTGGTTAGGTTTCCACTAGTATGAGGTCATGGGTGAGAGGAGGTTCAGGGCTACTGAAGAGAGAAACCCAGAGGAAAGAACTACTCAAACTGAGGATTACACAGAGACTATTAAAAACCACCAGACTTAGCTTCTCCAGAGAGAAAAAGAGGAAAGAGAAGCAAAGAAAGTGAGCCTGCAAGGGAGAAGGGCTTTCAAATGACCTACAATAACTGGAAAATTAAATAGCATCTATTAATCTTTCTGCCTCTCTTCCCCACATTCCCCTGCATGCTCCACAAACTCAATGCTTTCCTCACATTAGGAGGAATACTGGTGTTGTACAAGAACAAGACCAAGACCAAGCTACGCTAGCAGCTCTGTGAGGTTGTAGTGCTTTGATCTAAATGCTAGCATCAGCATGCTAGCATGCGCTCAACGACAACGCTAATGTAATGCTGATGTATAGCAGGTAGGCTATGCTACATAACAAATTCACTATTTTTACTATGTTAACCATCTTATTATTGCTACTTAGCAAATGTGAGCATGCTAACATTTTAGCTGAGAAAATAAGGTTGATGGGATGGACCTGATGATGGGGCTACATGGAATGGTAAATGGACTGCATTAATATAGCACTATAACACGCACATCAGACCAAGGACACTACGACGGTGGACTGAAGAGGCCGGGGATCGAACCACCGATCTTCTGATTAGTGGACGACCCGCTCTACCTCCTGAGCGACAGCCACCCCTATGTGAAAAGTCACAGATGTTATTAGGATTCATCCTCGTGGTCACCATGAATGTCTGTACCAAATATTCATGGCAATCTATCGAGTACTTGTTGAGCTATTTCAGTCTGGACCAAAGTGGTGAACCAACCGACCAACAGACAGACTGTTATCCCTAGATCCCAACTGACATGGCTAAAAAGTAGACATGTAAAGCATTTGGTAAGCTTCAAATACACACATTACCTGGTTGGTAATTACACTGTGCTGACAAGTATTGTTAAAAGACCAATTTTACATCTGATATGGGTCATCTGAAATCAGAATTGCCATATGTTTTGCATTAACTCTGATGGGTGTTGAATTACAGAACATAAACACAGGCATAGTGTTGAAGAGTTGCGTTAACACTCATGTTAACCACATTATGTGTTGGGGTTGGGGCTTCAGTTACAGCTGCAGCTGTATAGGATCTGCCCTCACAGTCCAACATAAGTTGCATAAAGATATATTTATTGGCATTTGCCCATTTTTTCTGTAATTTTCACACCTTGTGAATGTCATAATCATGTATAAATAGTTTTATTAATACCCATAAAACCTAATGGGCCTCACCATCTCCTACATAAATTTCTGCATTTATACACTTGATTTACTGTATCCTGTTACATTCCCAGGACATGAAGCCTAACTGGGAAACATGAAGGGTCAAACTCACTGTTTCGTGAACATATACTTGCCGCCCCGTTTCTTGCAGAAAATATGCAAAGTTCAGTCTTCCTTTTATCTTTGGTATGGAAAATGTACTGTAGAGCACTTTCATATACTATAAAGGGCAATTTCCCCCTCACCAGAAATCCTCCATTGGGATTCGTCACCAGTGTGGTTCCCATGGTCATGTTCTCCTTGACTTCATTTACGTTGAGAACAGTTGTGTTTTCTAAAAAAAAAAAGAAAAAGGGATGAATAAACAGAGTGAGACAAACAGAGAGAAGAACAGAGGAAGAACAGCTGGATAAATTCCTCTTCTTCATTTTCCCACAGGAAGAGACGCTTAAACTCCTTCCTTAATTCCATCCACCTCAAGAAGACGTAATAACCCCTGACATGTGGTTAAATTTAGTTTGTTTCATGATTTTTCCATACTGTCCCTCGGTGTGTAGCTTATGGCCATTAGTAAAGGATATAGAGCACAAAACAAAATGTTTTGTTGATAAACATCCCAGTTGTGGTGAAGAAAAGAAATAGAGGAATTGAGTCATTAAGCAATCACAACATGTGGCTAAAATTAGATTAACTATTGCTTCAGCTTGAGAATGCCTTGAATCTGACTCACTTTTCTTTTTTTTCCTAAGGGATCCATATAATTTCTCAAACTCATTCACATTCACAATTAAGTTCTTTTCCAATTCCCATGGAGGCTTTTTGATAAAAAAAAAAGATTTCTGATTTTCATTAGCAAGCAGTTATGACTTTGGTATGAGCTCTTCTTCAAACCAGGAAACCACCAGAAACAGAACTGTTAGTAGTTAGAAGTGTTGCGCCCTTTTTCATTCCTCTCTGTGTGGGAACTTTCTATCCTTCCTATTTCCTGCCTTCATGCTTCCTAGAAACCACAGAAGAAGAGAGCATATTTGGGCTGTTTATGACAATAATCTTTCTATTATTCTAACACACTTTTTATTTAAGGCACAATAACTGCCACACACCACAATAAACTAGTGAAACTAAGTCGGTTAAAAAAACTTCTTTCTTGATTATCTTAAAAGTTGAGTGACACAAACCGAGACCTTGCACCTCATGATGCGTCCACGTGGGACTGAAAGCAGCTTTGTGGAGCTGCAGAGGAGAATACAGTCTTTGTCCTCAGTGAACTGTGACTCCAGATAACTATCAGAACAAATCACACTTATCACACAGTCCCTCTTGGTCTTGAATGACCTCTCACAAGTCAAAGGGAGAAACAGGTCAAATACCACTTTGTAAAGTGGCTTCTACTAAAATACTGTATACCAGTGTTTTACCGTGCAGTAGAAACGAACTGTGATGTTTTTCTTTTACAGGGGCGTTACATGTAACATTCTAGTTTATCAAGATCGTGCTCATCAGTTAAATACTGCGCAAACTGCATGCATGAAAATAACACTTGTCGTCTTGTGAATCTCACGAGATAAATACATAAACCTAGAAAACATGCACCATTGCTAAGTAGTTCTCTGGCTTGTAAGACTGCAGCCTGAATTTGCAAATCTGAGGTTGGATTTAATTTTCCAAACAGACTATAAACAGGACACAATATTGTTTAGCAGACAACTTGAAAAAAAAAAAAAAATGTTACACTCTGTTTCCAGCATTTCATCACACATAATAGTCCTGGCACAACCACCTTTTAGTTTTATGGCTCAGACGGAACTGTGATTAAAAATTACAACACAATAACCACAAACATTCAAGTTCACTCATTATGGTTTGGCATCTCTCTCTACTGTGCTGGAATAGTGCAAACCTAGTTAGGAGACAGATCTGGCAATGTGAGACAAGGGCGTTGTCAGTGGGCACAGATTGAAATGACTCTGCAGGCATCAGACTTTAAGATGATTGACAAGCTTTTTCCTTCAGTGGAACATCGACATCCTGCTCGGCTGTCCTGGTTTTGCCTCAGAAGTGCTCATGAAATATCACTTTAGACATCCAAAAACAATTGGTGTCTGAATCATACCCAGTTTCACTTTAAATTCAAAATACATTGAACTGTTGTTGTCATCATTTAAACCACTCCCTGTTTGCTGAGTGGTCTGGCTCCGGCTGCCCGTCTAAATCGATTCCCAATGGACGTTTTCCAGACTAAACTTGAGTTTGTGAAATTTAGGCTTTAGCCTGATAAAACAAATATGGCACACTCCACTGATGGGGGGGGGGGGGTTATAATTTCCAGCCATTACTGTACATCATCATCGCTTTAAGCCAGGAATTTACCAGCAGCAGAACCGTGACTCCTGTTACTTGATAATAATCCAGAGGTGTAAACAGCTGTGTTGAAAAGTATCAATCCCTGAGTTGGGAGTCCACGTGTGCATATCTAATACAAACACTAATTCTCAGTCGTCTTGTGTCAACACACAGACAAACACTAATACAGACTTTGCAGACTGCTGACCGGGAGCTAAATTGTGTTTATCTGTTTAATCAAGATATAATTGGAAGGATGAAACATTAAAACCTTGTTTATTTACTGTCTTCCCGTTTTGATGGGCCTCACTTCCTCCCCAGACCCATACAGTAGACTTAAAAACACAGTACAATTACACACACCAACCAGCGCTAAGATCCACAGGATTTGTACATACAGTTGATGTTGAGCGTGTTATAATAACTATAAAGGAAACGACCGGCAGACTTTTTCACCCTGGGTTTTACCTCTCAGGCTACATTATTGTTGTGACCCTATGCTAAAAGGTGTACCTGCAAATAAACCACTCAGAAAATTACTACAAAAGAAGCCCAGTGCTCTTTGTAGCATAGATGAAAATTATATATATTATCTACATTTACCGGCTATATTGACTGTTATAAGACAGTAGGTATAATGTCTCTATTAAGGAAACTAAGCATGGTTTAAAAAAATACCTGTTTTAATTTCCCATAAGGTGACATCTTCAAATGTCTTGTTTTTTCTGACCAACTGTCCAACACCCAAAGATTTCAGTTTGATCATGTGTTACAAAGAAAAGCATAAAATACTCATATCTGAGAAGTTAGAAACAGCTAAAATTTGACATTTGACATGAATGATGAAATGGAAATGAGAAATATTTAATAATCAAAATAATTGCTGATTAATTTTTTTGTTAAATGACTAATCAATTAATCGACAAATAAGTTGTAATATGGAATGCTACCTTAATTTTTAATTGAAGGTCTAATTTTTAGTACAGAGGTTTAAATAGCTTTTCATATTTTATTTTATTATAGAAAGCAGAATAAATTTCATCCTGGACACACACACACACACACACACACACACACACACACACACACAAAATTCTTACTGGGCAGGTCCAGTTTGATACATGTGTTGTTCCCCCTCCCCACAGGACATTTGTAGACATCTCCGGTCCGTCTTGCTGGCTGGCCCGACAGCGGTGATCCGATCAGAACCCTGAAAAATTAAAACAACAGTTGAGATTGGCTGATTAGAAATCCTGCGAAAGACCAAAGAACAGCATCACACTTTAATGATCATGATAACAAGCACAACTCAAATATTATTGCAGAAATTAAGTGAGTTGGAAGTGACTACAACAATTTAGGTTTGCCTTAATTATACTTACATAGTTGAACTGAACATAAACAGAAGGTTCAGATGGCTGATAAAGCTGTATAGCTTATTATAATTGGCTATAACTGAACCTGTGACTGTCATATTATTATTATCATCACCCTGGAGCTATAGTATGAAACTGAAATAATATTGAAATAGTTCACATCAAAAAAAACCCTTACTGTACTTATCACTTCATTTCCTCATTACATACTATTGCATGATATCTTGCAGATGTCTGGAGATCAGTGCTGTATTGTGTTACACGCCCATGTCCATGTGTGAGTTTCCGTGTCAGTCTGTCAGTGAACTGATGCTAAAAAGAGTCAGTCATCTGCTCTCCTTTAAACATTCAGACTTATTAACATTCCTGGACTCTAATGGGCCCTGGTCATCTAAAGCAGGACAGAGAGTGGAACAACAACACACTCGGAGCTCAGTAAACTGTCAGCAGCAACCTGCATGTTACATCACCTCATGGCTGCTATCTTTTTCCTCTATAATATTCTCCCACTGAGGGCTACATATCATCTCTAATTTTATTGCCCTTCCTCCTTATTTTCCTGAGATTTCTCTATAATTCTGTCTTTTATCTCTTTTTTTTTTCTTCTTTCACCTGTTCTCCTTCACTCCTCCAGATCTCCGATGCCCTCCTTCTTCTCTCTGCCTGCTTCAGCACACGTTCATTACAAAGTTCAACTTCTTCAACCAGGCCCTTATCACTTCTCTCTGAACCGGAACAAAAAAGTGCTATCTGGTGATGCTACAGAGCCAAAGTGTTTACCAGTGAACAGTGTGGAGGTTCAGCCTCAGCTGGTTCAACTGATTAGCAGTGAGTGAATTACTGTAACTGAGCTCACATGAGCTCGATAAGATCATCGCTGCAGAACAGCATCAGGTACAGACATGTGGGAAAGAACCAGACGTGGTGCCACAACAGGTTGGAGAGAAGCAAACTGTTAAACTGTAAAGACTGGAGTAACTGAAGGAGAGCTGTAGTTACACAGAGCCATTTACCACAATCTAATAACGTTTAACAAGGTTTTAAAAATGTGTTCCCAGACTGTTTTAGCAAGGAGCCATGGATGCTTGGTTTCAGCGTATTTACAGGCTGGGTATGTGGATACTCTGGTGGGCAGTTTATGTTTAACAGCTAGAGTAATAAAGGCAAGGATCCCCATTACAGCAGCATCTGGTGTGCTCCCCCTCACTTAGTTTTACAGGTGAAAGAGGGTTTGTAGACTTTGTTAATGTTGCGGAGTTGAATTAAACTGATCCGAGTACTTGTCTTGGTGTAATAAAATATCCTCAAGCAGGAACTTTTTTAGCGATTGATCTGAAACATTTGCACAAAACATCAGAGCGAATTAACATTAGAGTTTTTGTGTCACTATGGTCCTTTTTCAGACGTGGAATACAAAACACATCGCTGGCTAATTCTGTATCTTGGAGTGATGCCGTTTTGTCATTCAGACATATCGTAGGTACGTGTCACACAAATGTTCCTGACAGGTTTATTCAGACATGACAGGACATTTAAAAGCCACAGTGTTTGTGTGATATTTGTCACCTGGTGCAGGAAGCGGTGGCAGCGGCTGAAAACAGCAGTGAAAGTGTGAGTTTTCTACGGAGGCTCAGAGGTGTCATGCAGAAAAAACTTGTATATTAATCATTTGTGCTCTTAATTTAGCATCACTTGTGTTGTGTGTACCTGTCACTCTCTTGCTGTGGATCACTTAGATTTAATATGATTTTGTTTTCAATCTTGAACAGAGATTTGTGGATAAACTTCAGGTTTTGGTTGTTAAATACAATATTTGTATCACTGAGATCATTTTTCAGTGTAAGAGACTCTCTCCAGAGAGAAAGCGCGGGTCTTAAACTTACTGTGGTTAAATTGTTGCCCCTCACCACAAAGGAAAAATTATATTCCCACAGACTGACCCCACATGAGAACAATTTCCATAATAATTTAAAATGCATAGTGTTCAACAGATTTTATTTTCTTTGAGAATAAAAGTGCTATAAAGTGAATAAAATGTGCATTTAATTTCTCTCTGCACATTTTTAAGCTTGTGCTGCTGCTGCTGCTTTTACATGAATCTAACCTCATTCACTTTTATGACAGTTATTCAGTTATTCAGTTTTATGGAAATGTTACAAATTGCCGTCACATTTATGTCTGAAATGGGCTTGTGTTTCGACTAGCATCTGTGAGATGAGGAGGAAATGCTGTAGTGGGGAAAGATGATGAATGTTTGGTCTCTGGATACCCTCATTTCCACAGAACGGGAACAGCTAATGACACTCACCATTTTCCCTCGCTGTTCTCAAACTGTTGGACAGTGTAGCCAAACATGTCCTCCAGTGGACCGCTGAATGACAAAGCATTTTTCTGGTCCACGTTGAAGGACAGCACACGTGTCAGCAGCACTGCAGGGACGGACGGAAAGGAAAGGTTAGACAGAATGCCAAAGGCTATTGTTTAATAAACAGAACAAAGCTTATCGAGGCCCTTCAATCTCCGGTACTGCTCTCCAGTGAAAGTTTAGATGAAATAATCTGATGCATAAATAATCAAACCCTGAAATAAGAGACTTGTGCATTCATTTTCTCATATAGGAAAGCCATGTTAATGACAGGAAGGTAAGGCTTAACAAACATTCTCAATAAACATTTAGAAATTATTCAAGATGCAACCCGGAAATGAAAAATAAACACATCTAATAATAGAACAACTTCATAAATAATGGACATTTTGTTAATATAGCCCCAATATTTATATAAATCTCATGGTATCAAAAATATTCAGTAGTATACCGTTTATAGAGATGGTATACCAAGATGAGGGATGAACTGTGTGAACCAAATCTCACGCACACACACACACACAGTCATTCTGGAGGACACTTGAGGAATTTCAAACATTAATGTGAAGCACTTTTGTGAAGTCCAGTCTGACCTACAGGACAATGACTTCTTCTCTGCTCCGTGCACAGTCTGCGTCCGTCTGTCACTGAGCTGAGTATATCACAGAGGTTCTATATAAATCCATCCATGTCTCATTGTGCCTGCACCACAATGACACTCTTTATATCTACTGTGCCAGGGAATTCTTTCAGTGTAATTTATTAAATTCCTGGACTTGTGAGGGAGTGCAGAGGAGAAGAAGGACAGTGGGATCGCAACAAAGAGCGTGTAGACACAGACCACATACATGGAGACACAAATAAAAAGCAGCTATTTGTTCTTTTGATGATGATGCTTTGTGTTTAATGTGTCTGACCCAAACAAAATAGAGAGCTACCATATTTAGTCTGGACTGAAGTCATTAGCCCAAGGAATACTGACGCTGGCTGTTCGGTCAGCTGGTCCACCACTTCGGCCCAAACATGAAATATTCCAACGACTATTAGACGGACCGCCATGAAATTTTGTACAGACATTTGTGGTCCACAGAGAAAGAACCTACTGACTTTGGTGGTCCCCTGATTTTTCCTCTAATGCCACAATAGAGCTTTATAGTGGCACGTACAGCTATTGGATGGATTGTCATGCAATTTGGTGCACACATTCATGTGACCCTTTAGGATGAATTGGTGAACTTTGGTGAACCCTTAATATTTCATCAGCACCATCATCAGTTCAACATTTTAATTTGCCTGATGCACCTGCAGAACTAACGACATTCCCATCAGCCTCAGCTGTCTGGTAATACTAATAACACATTCACTGAGGCACTATAATTAAGAATAGGATAGTGTCAGTCTATTAATTGCATTTGAACACTTGATAAGACGTTAAACCACTCTTTCTTTTTTCTTCTTGTATTCATCAGGGGTGCAAAAAAACCCAACAAGAAGAAACCTGGCACCGGTTTTATTTGCAATCACTGTCTAAGCATCTTCATTGTCGTCAGAGTGGTACTAAATTCATCTTATTACATTATGTCTCTGACGTAGCTCATCTACCAGCTGCACAATGTCTTGCAGCAGAATTGTCTCCATTTCAGCCACTTCCCTGTTATTTCATCTCCATTTAAACATTTATACATCATAAATATATTAGACTGTTGTTCATTCCCAGAGATTCAAATATTTCACACAAATAAAATAAAGTTTAAAAAGATAAGTAGTATATATGTTCTTGCAGAACAGCATACCACTGAATAAACTGTAAGGACTAAAAGAATGTACAACATGGCAAATGTAGAGTCAATCTATATCTCTGATTTGCTGTTTCCTCTCTTTAACTTTTCAGTTTAATTATGTTTTTACTATTTGATTCAATGTATCTTTAAAAATGAAAATGTGATCAATCAATGTATAACGTCTTTTGATATAATTTTTTAAAATGTATTATAACTAAACAGTCCAGACTCTATTCTGTTACGACTCTGACCAAACTGGCACAAAATCCTGAACTGCTGAATATGTGTTGTATCCTCTTGTGCACCTTAAAAGGAAGAGCTTGGTAGAAGAAAGACAGAGAAAGCAAATACAAGCAAACATCTGTGCATGTGTGGAGGCCTAGTCCTTAACTCAAGGAGGCTTAGATGCATAAATTATATGTGATTACGTCTGTTATGACCCCTCTCACTGCTTTCTAACGAACAGAGGAGTTGGAAAAACATACTGCTGCCAGTCATCATCCAGTCATGTTTAGATGATGATCACATAGATTTCATATAAGATTACAACTTTTAACGTTCCTGTCACACAAAGAGAGGAAGACAGAGAGGAACAGAGAGAGAAGCAGATCTGCAGAGTCATATACTGGAATCCCAGCCAAGAAATATTATCCCCTCTGTTTCTCCCTCATTCGTTTCTGTACTTCCTCTGTTACCCCCTCTCCATCTCTCAGAGAAGCTCCATTTCCTGTTCCTATTAACCTGATTATAGACATCCCCTCAAATCCACAGGTACACACACACACACACACACACACACACACTCACATAGATACACACACACACATACATACACTCACTCACACAGCTAATTTAGCTGATTTAAGATGGCTTCCTGCCAAACAGACCTTTTCCATTTATCACTGACTGAGCTCAAGTACATTTCACAGTCACGCTGGCCTGAGCTGTAAATCATACAGGAGCGCCCTTCGTACTGACAGACACGTCTTTTGTGTATACCCATCTCATTTCGCTGTGTTTGGTGTCTCCTGGCTCTGCTCTGCTCAAATCAAAACCAGTGAGTTATGTAACCAGCTATGAGCTGGGCCAACATCTGCCCTGGAAAACCAATAAGTGGGCTTGTCCTTTGTGGATGGAAATGGCCTCATAAGCCTGTGAGGAATTGGCAAATAAAGCTGTCCATCATTGTCTGGAGGGTTCATATGGTACTCTGTTACACATGGTGAGCTACAAGCAAGGATCTGTGTTGGTTGACCCACCAATTTGGTCCAGACTGAAATGTCTCAACAGCTATTGGACCACTGTGCCTGCGTACAGCCTCACAGAGCCGTGAGCATGGCTGTACAACACGAGACAGTAAGACAGTCAGATACAGGGCTGCAGCTTAAGATTGTTTTCAGTAGATTGACCCTTTGATTATTGTTTTTTTAATTAACCACATAGTTAGATAACAGCAAAAAATGCTCATCCCAAGATGATGTGTTCAGATGCTGATTTTCTCCAACCAACAGTCCAGTGCGTTTACATTTCCAGTGTCAAAAAGTACAATTATTATGTCAACTGAGTAATCAATTATTTAACCAATTATCACAAACTAACTAAACATCAGCACCAATAGTGTTTGTTAGTGGGCCTTGGTAACAAAACCCCGACATGACGACATGTCGTCATCGGCTTGAGTTTAATCAGTCCAGCTGTCTACACAGGCCTTGTCACAGATCGTGTTTCACTTGCGCTATACGCTTGTAAATGCAACCCAAAGCGTATTTTTATGCTGTAAGTCTATTTTCTTCTGTTTTACGCACGTAGCAGCAGTTATTGTGTCTTGGGCTCTGAGCGCTGCCAAAACACGAGACACCTACAGTTGACAGTGTGCCTGAACATATCCTGTGTAGAGACAGACAGAGGAGTGAAGCTGCTGCTGTCGCTCTGCTTCACCTCCTGTGTAAACATTGTGTTAGTCTTGTTTCAGCAGAAAAAGGGGGACTAGCAGATACAATATAGTTCCTGTGTGCCATTGCTTATTGTGAGAAAAATCTTTTTGTTCACCAGAAATGTCTAATGTAAATTGGTTCAAATGCCACAGCCTTAAGACTACAACATGTCTGTTTTCAGTCAAGCTCCTCCTGGTCCTGATTGATCCTGGCAGTCTGTCAGACACACTAACCCACAGTAAAACCCTGCTGCCCTCACGGCCACAGTTATCAAAACCCAAACGACTCCATTTAACAATCCTGCAACACATCAAGAAAAGTAGCAAAAGTCAGATGTGCCTGATACAGCCAGGGCACAGATTAGCACCTGTCGGCCTGTGAGACATCAAACCAGCTATAAAAATGACCCCAAGTCAGCACCTGTAGGCTTCAAAGCCTCGTTCAGCCACAGTAAAAACACACACCCGACCCGCACCTGCTCATCTGTAACATATCTAACCAACTATAATCAGCTTTAAAGCTTAACACAAATCAGCACCTGTGGGCAACAAAGTCATTAAGCAACCCTGAAACTCAACCTTAATCAGTTGTGCTAAGAAGCACGTGTCACTTGTAAAGCTGATCCAAGACAGACCATTAAAACAAATCTCCTAAAATTAAAGTAAGCAAACATCTGCAGCAGCTCAGAGATGGGATAATCTCAATGATACATCAGCTGGAGTAAAAGAATGAATGAATTAATGTTTTTATGACTGACTGGTGTTTGACTCTTCAAAAGGTCAAAAGGGGCTTTGGGTGGGACCTGGAGCTTTTCTTCACCATGTGCTGGCATTTAACAACAGACTCTGCTGGCAAGGAGTGAAGCCTCATATTTTTGCATGGCCGTGGGCAGCCTAGAGCCATGAAGAAGTTATGAAACTGAAATATTTCCAGATTTCCTCCTTTGTTCATTTATCCTTATCTGCTTTTCTTCTCCACTGCCTTTTCCTCTCGCTCTCCCATAACTCTCCTCTAACAGGCTTCTTCAGACTGTTCTTCTTGTTTTAGGCTCCATCAGTATCCACACTTTGCTCTCTAGATACTCTAGGAATGGTTATCACGAGCTGAACTGATAGGTTTCATCTCTGCGGACTTTGACTTTATTTTCTCATGTGGCTGTCTGCTCAGTTGCTGCTTTATTCTTGGCGAATGTAGAGTATGTGGGTGTGCAGTGGACACAAGAGGTCATGAATGTGGGCGTGTTTGCATCTTCATACGCAGAGAACAAAAAGGCCGAATTCCTTTGAGTTTTAGTGGTAATCTCTGAAGCGGGGAAAGATAAATTAATTCGACTTTTATTTACTGAACTG